GGACGAAAAGTTGGACGGAATTTCCGTCCAAAATTCGCACGTTGGACGGAAGTTCCAACCGACACTAAATGTTGGACGGAACTTTCGTCCTAGCATAGTGCGTTGGTCGAAAAATTGAATTGACCAGTTGGTGAAATGATAAATATTAGGTATTATTATATACCGTCCAACATTGTTATTGGACGGAAATTGAAATATTTAAGTGTTTGGCGGTAAGAATCCTCAATTTCACAAAATTTTGATCTAAACGCCTAATTAAAAATACATTTCCCTCTCAAAAATAAAAAATAAAAAATCATACCCTGTAGTCGTTTCCCGGGGCAAACTCTTCTCTTTCTCACAGCGCAAACTCATATTCTCAGCACCATTGAACAACCTAGGGAGCGGGATCGTCGTTCGTCGATATCCATCAAAATCTCCTCCACCTTCTCCATGGTCACTGACCTCCGTCTAGCAGTCGCCGCTTCCTCTGCCACAACCACTGACGACTATCGCTCATTGTCTCCGACAGAAACGTCGCCGCGAAGGTCTGTCATTGCTTCGGTCGTCGCTGCGTGCTTCCTCATGTGGTCGCCGCTTCCTCGCCGATTGCTTCCTCTCCGTCGCGTGGGTGGTCGTTGTGTCGGTCGTCCCCGACTGGCCGATTTTGAATTGCGAACTGTTGCAACGATTTCCGCTGTTTCTTTCGTCTTTCCAAGCTGGTTAGTTCTATTACTCTAAATGTTAAACCCTAATCATTAAATTCCTGATGTCATAAATTCCTAATTCCATTTATCCCTAAATCCTAATTTCATTTTACCCTAAATTATTGCATTTACAATTTCTTGATTTATATAAAATTTTCTTAGTACTGCAAAGCTTGATATGTGCTCTCTTTGCTTTACTCATGTATTTACAATATCTTTGCTTTATATAGCTTGATATGTGCTCTCTTTGTTGTACTCTGTAGATTATTTATCTTAAGCAATTTTCTTTTGTGTGATATTGCTTTATATTAGCTGATGATTGTGCTGAGTTTGTAAAAATCTGATGGTGGTTGTCAACTTGTGAAGAATAATAATGGAACTTAGAATATAGGGGATCCTAAGGGAAATGGTTGTGCTAAGGTGGTGGTGCTCTCTGGGACATAAGTTTGAAGAATATGATGGTGGTGCTCTCTGGGACATCTTTAGAAAGGAAGATGTCTCTAAGGTGGAAGAGTATCTAAGGGACTTCAAGTAGTTCAGGCATATTTATTGTTGTCAAGTGCTAGGGGTACAACTATTTGCATTAACATTTTGGTGATTCTTTTGTTTTGATTATCTTTCATCTTTTCTTTACTTAGGTTGTTCACCCAATACATGATCAAAGTTTTTACTTGACTCTTGAACACAAGAAAAGGCTTAAAGAATAATATGGTTAGTTTTCTTCTGTCAACTTACACTTTTAAATACCAGTTTTATATTTTCACTGCATATTTTTAATAGCATATTTTCACTGCATCAGTGTTACAAGTAAGAATAGAAGCCAATACCAGTTCATCTGATCTGTGTAAATTAATTTGATGCTGGCAGAGGTTATGATTTTAGCAGATCTTGTTTTGGTCCACACACGGTTATACTGTGTGACCAGGTTCACATATTTCAACTTAGAGTTGTGATTGTAAGATGCCTTACTATGAATTTTAGCGGTTGTAGGAATGAAGGGGAAGTGCAGAATATATTCTGCAGTGCATATCAAGGTAAAACATTGTCATGGGGAACTAAAATTCAAGTTTAAACTCATATCTTTTGCTTTCAAAAAAAAAAAAAAACTCTTATCTTTTGCATTAACTACTCATTTAACACATTAAATTCAATTTTTCAGGATATGGATTCCATGAGGATGGATTATAGGTATGTTTTACCTGGCTTATTTCCTGTTCTTAATTATTTCATCACTAAGTGTAACAACGGTGTTGTTAGGTTGGTATGATCGCTGCATACGGGTTGTTAAAAGAAGAGTTGCAGCCCTCTGGACAACTCAAAACACATGGTACCTTTCGTTAGGATGGTATGATCACTTTTTCATTTTCATGTCCAAGTTAGTACAGTTAGTAATTTCATTAGAAATGATTGACAGGTTGCAACCCAGGCTGATCTCGGCCTAGCAGATGCATACATTCATCTATAGCATCAAGAAAGTAAGGTTGCAAATTCTGCATTGTTTCTACATTGTTTCTACATTGTTATAAACTGCAATAATGAGGATAAGATTGTTGTTCTTGTCGGGACAGTGAGAAACAATTGTTGGGAGAACTTACATTCATATATAGCATCAAGAAAGTAAGGTCTATTGGGGGAAGAGGAGAAGAAGAAAGTAAGGGCTTTCTCTTTCTCCCTCTGATTCTGTTTGTCTTTCCCCTTTCTACTCATGTAATAAAATGTCCATTTCTTTATATTTCTTTATATGATTGTAGTTTTGTAGTCTATATCTACAGCCCTCACACCAATTGCAGCATGAGAAACGAAACGGTTGTTGATTGTTTTTGCTAGAAATCACTTTAGAAATGCTGATCAAAGCCATCATATTAAATTAGTTGCATTTGCAGGTATACTCATCATCTACACTAGATCAAATTCTTGATCATAGAAGTAGAAGGATGTGGATGCTGCATTGATCAAAGCCATTGAAGTAGTGTCGGATTTGAAAGCTTATTTGGGTGCAGCGTGCATACTTAAGTAGTATTGATTAAGTAGTATATATGTTCATGATTTTTTATTTTTTTTGGTGTATGGTATCCATTGTTGGAAGTACTATGAACATGATCATAATTTTTCTTGTAAATAATTTTGATGTTTAAATATATTTTCAATTTTAAATTTAGTGTGTCCATTAATTTATTGATGACATATAATTTATTAATAATAGGTAGAAATAAAATTATGGTGGTAATATAAAAATAATAAAAATATTTCATGTGATTAAGATTTTCCTACCAATAGTTGGAAGGAAACTCACAACATTCAGTACTCAATATTTCTGTCCAACTGTTGGTCGGAATTTCTGTCCAATAGTTGGAAGGAAAATCAAAAAATATAATATGTGAGTTTTCCGTCCAACTTTGATCGAATTTCCGACCAACACATGTAGTTGGACGGAAATTCCCACGTTTTAAGAATGGTGGGTTATTGTTCGGAATTTCCGTTCATTTTTATATGTTGGACGCTATTTCCGACGAGAAACTAGGGTTGGACGGAATTTCCGACAAGCGTTTTTCCGAACGTTCAATTTGGTCGGTATGTTGGACGGAAACCTTGTTTCCGACCAATATATCGCGTTTTCCGTCCAATATTCGTTGGACGGAAAACGCGAGATTTCCAGCAGTGAAATAGGTTGGAACTGTTACATGTGTCATACGTAATGTCCATCTATTTGAAAACAGATCCAAAAAAATATCCATCAGAGAGTATACATATGATTATCTAACATAAAAAAAAAAAAAAAAAAAAATTCCACTGGGACATTTATGTCTTGTAACCATAGCACAATAAAACCAAAAAAATCCAATGTACAGATTAGTTTACTTCCTTTTATAAATATCAGAAATTGTACTTATAGTCAATCTGCAATTTGTTTGATCCAAATGTAGAGGTTGCTAAATGCTTTGCTTTCCATCTGTTAGTTATCGAGAACCATAATTAAACTATGCAACGATTATGTTTTATAGATTTATTATTGTGGTGTTTTATTTATAAAAGACATTTAATTAGCCAACTAATATATGCATAGGTAATACAAAGAACTAACAAACTTAACATATAAAAATTATTAATGAATTTGGTTAAATCTAATCAGTGGCTGTAACGGAATATGAACATCATTAATTATCCGATAAATCAACATTTGACATCGTTTTTTAGTAAGTTGTTGCTTTATTATAATAATAGATAGATATATAGATAGATGATAGAGAGATAGACTATTTTCACAAATTAAAACTTACTATATATACGTTAAGTCTTGGGCATGGCAGATGAAGAACTGACCAGTTTTAGATTCATAACTGACCATATTTTTTTGAAAACTAACTGACCATATTTTTGGGCTCAGCAAATGAAGGATTCCAATGACCGGCAAAGTTATTGGCCCTGGTGGGAATTTTTGGATAGTTATGTTGTGCATCCGTATGCACCATGCATGGTGCATACGGATGCAAAAACGACGTCGTTTTATTAAAAATGTGCATCTCACTTTAAAAAAAAAAAATCAGTTTTGATTCCCCTCAACAGCATTATGTTGTTCATTCATTCTGGAATTTTAGTTCATAGATTCTGGAATTGTAGTTCATAGATTTTGGAATTTTAGTTTATCGATTCTGGAATTTTAGTTCATTCATTCTGGAATTTTTAGTTCATAGATTAGATTCTGGAATTTTAGTTCATAGATTCTGGAATTATAGTTCATTGATTCTGGAATTATAGTTAATCGATTCTGAAATTTTAGTTCATATGTTGTTGCTGAGAATCAAAACTGATTTTTTTTTTTAATAAGTGAGACGTGCGTTTTTAATAAAACGACGTCGTTTTTACATCTGTATGTACCATGCGTGGTGCATACGGATGCACAGCATAATTTGCCGGAATTTTTTGCCTACTTTTTGCTAATAAACAGAGGGCTTGGACCAAAGTCCAGGTCAACAATGCAGGAAATCCATTCTCTCTGATCTCTCTCTCAGTTGACTTGTAAGAATGGAATGGAATGGAATGCCAATCTGCTCTTTAGGATTCGATATGTATACAGAATAAGAAGACCCAGAATGATGATGTGCACGCTTCTATATTTGACCTTTACAAACACTACAATTAATGCATGTAAGTGCTGACACGTATCAGTGGTATATATATTTATAAGGAAATTTCAAATTTGGTCCTATAACTATATGGATCTTGTTAATTTCAGTTTTATGACTTAAAAGTGTCAATTTAGTACTTTAACTATGTAATTTTTATCAATTTTGGTCACTCCAATCAAATTGTCGGTCAAATTTCGCTGGAAAAACTTAATCCTTCATTTAGTCTATAATTTGAGGGACAAAATCGTCTTTTGTATTCTGGTCCGAATTCAAGGATGGTATAACCCGGTTCAGCCGGTTCAGCGTGAGAGTTTTGCAGCGCCAGTATCCCGAAAAAAAGGAACACTACTGAACCTTCCGGCTGGTCGTCTAGCCATTCCAAAATCTGTTGGCTACTTTGACCGGCGCCGGCCAAATTTAGTATAGGTCCGACGGGGTATAGAGGTGGGGAGTTTGGGTCGTGGGAGATGGTCTTGATTGGGTGGGATTCAAGTTCAAGAAAGGTGTTCACAATAACACCCTTTGTCGCACTGATGAGTTTGGATATGGCGAGGAACATTGCGAAACCGTGTTTGTCTAGCAGAGCATAGGGGATCGAGCTGGGGGGGAAAGGCTTGGCGTAAGTTGGGATATTGAGATCCCTCTCGCACCCTCTTAAATCGTCGGTGGTGATTCTCTGCATATGCAGGTGGAAGCCCAGCGCGGCGGTGGCGGAGGTGTAGAACACATAGGTCGGAACTCCAAATTCGTTGGCCACGTCAATCATGACCGTGGAAAACATGTCGATTACAGATCCGTCCAGACATACAGTTCGGATGGTTTCTTGAATGCATTCTCTGACTTGAGGTTTGAAAGGGTCGATGGGGATCATCGAAGGAGTGGGAATGTGGGAATGTGGGAATGTTGGTGGAATCGATGGGGTTCAACTCGTCCACGGGGAGTGTCACGAACTTCAGTCGCCTTTGCGAGGTTTGGGATTGAATGAAAGAGGTGATTTTGAGGTCGAAAGGTGGTTTCATGATGAAGATGGTGATGGAGATATGGTGGTATATGTGGATAAGGAACTATGCGATTTCAAAAGACTACAAAAACGATTTTTCCTCTCAAATTATAGACTAAATGAAGGATTAAGGTTTTTATGCGAAATTTGGTCGGAGTGACCAAAATTGATAAAAATTGCATAATCAAAGTGCTAAATTGACATTTTTAAAAGTCATAGACGAAAATTAATAAGACTCCAATAGTCATAAGACCAAAATTGAAATTTCCTCTATATTTATTTTTAGAGATATGTAACATTGTCATCATGTAGATATTTATTGACCAGTTAGTTTTGCTATAAAGATATTTCGTATTGTCATGTAACTTCATTCAATACATATTTATTGGTACAAATAAATGTACAATAATTATACCAAAAAATTTTATAATGGTGACACATCATGATATCAATCATCCAACTTATTATTATTAGTGATATAAGAGCCATTACAATTGAGTTATTTAGTTGTTTTTTTTTTAGTGACTGCAAGAATGAGTTTTCATGGAGTTTATAAGAAAAGAAAAAAGACTAAAGTGTCATTTCGCACTATGAATTATACGCGATTTTTTTATGTCGCATCCTAACCTTTCATAAATGCTATTTTGATACATAAATTAAAATTTTGTTGTCGCCTAGCCTTTTTTGTAGGTAGCCTTCAAGTAACAGGTTAGAACTTGATGATGTGGAAGTGTTTAGTTGTTGACTTGTTTAAATAAGTAATAAAGGTATGAGTTGGCAGCCATTTCATCATTTAGCTTAAATAAGCAAACTTTTTGGTCATCCTTGCTGACGCTTGTGGCAGAGTAACCCCTAGATCCGGCGCCGGCAACCCTCGTATAGTACCTCTTCCGCACTGTCTTTGTCATCAGCTCCGACGACAACCCGCCGTCATCTCCTCCACCGCAGTGATCCCTGGAAAGCTTTCTTTTCTCCGGCAGTTTGTGTCCTTTTTTTATCCAGATTTTTTGCGCTTCTGGGCAAGAAATTTTTTACTGTATGGAATCAAATGCAACAGAGATGAAGAAGAAGAAGCTGTGTTGGAGCTATTAGTATAATAGTGGCAGCAAGCCGAAAGTGAGGCGCTGGTTGGAGTCGTCGTCGGGGGTGACGATGTTGTTGAGGACCCACACGATCTGCTGAGACAGAGTGGCGTCGTTGCTCTTGACCGCGTTTGTGCCATTGATGGTTGTCGCTAGACACTTTGAGTCGATGTTCTACCATTTTTTCGTAGATCAACGAATGTATTAGTTTATTCCCAGTTTGGTCACTTAATTAACTAGACATTCTTCTGCCCCTTAATGTATTCAACACTTTTTAATTTTCCAATTGTTTAATTTGAGTATTATGTTTTACCTTCAAAAGATATTAAAAAAAATATTAAGAATCATGAGAAAATATTTTTAAAAAGAAAATAAGTGAAAAAAAAATAGTTGATTTGACCAGTACATGAAGAAAATATTTTTTTTTTAAAAAATCAAATTAAAAAAATAAGTATAAGAAGAACAAATAGGTATGTGTTAAAAGTACCCCAAATGGAGGATTTTCTTATGGAGAGCTCTTTGTGATATCCTTCCCACTTCTATGAATTTGTTTATAAAGAGGATGAAAGTTTTTTTTGAAAAAAAAAAAAAAGGATGAAAGTTGATCCTACATGTCTTATGTGTGGTATGGCTCATGAGAATATAATGCATGCTCTTATTTTGGGTGAAAGTGTTGACAATAATATAATAATCTTACGTAACAAGCCAGCTATCACACCAACTCAATTGGGCTGTTCTGGTAAATAACTGAGGCCCTCCAAAATTATAATTTTTAAAACTAATATATGCGAGTTTCGAATCTTTGACCTCCAAGTTAAAATACAAAAAATATACATTATATTGCTACCACCTCTTCATAGAACCTTTTAAATTTAATTGAAAATTTTTAATTTTTATTTCTAAACTAGCTAGGTAAATATTAAATATTTGGCCTCTAAAACTTGGGACCCCTCTAAAATTGGCGGCCTTGTGCGGTAGCCCAACTTGCATAGCCTAAAATCCGGCTCTGGGTTGCCCTCGCATATAATAATCTATTCATAGAAACGGTTTAAAAATTGATAAAAGATAATCAATAATAATTACGATAGATAAAAAAAATTAAAAAAAAATGACATCAATTCAATTCGATAAACCATTGCAATTTCGTATATAGGCAAAGGGTTTAAAGACTGCAGAATTCTGGTCACTAAGCATGGATCAATGTTATCTTCACACATACTTTATATGAGGGAAATAAATGTGTCGATCATATGGTAAATTTGGGTCAAAACGCGGCGTGAGGACCACCTGGTTAGATCGTTCGCCGTTAAGTTTAAACCCTCTTCTTGCAGTTGACGTTTTTGGGGCTAGCACAGCTAGAGTTTGGTAGTTAGCTCTCTCTTTCCCGTAATGGGTCTTTTTCCACCAAAAAGAAAAAAAGAAAAAAAAAATCGTACATTAGTTAACTCAATTGCCGTAATATAGGGAAAATTACTCATCAATAATTTCAAAAGTTTGAAAAAAATAATTACTGCAATTTAGAAAGAGTAAATAGCAATTTTGGTCTCATGAGTATTAGAAAGATGACAATTTTGAATTTTTGATTCACATGATTTTCATCCACAACTATTGTTTTATTACCAAATTTCATCAATGACTATTATTTTAATTAGTGCCAAAATTTATCACGCCGGTCACCTTTTCATTTAAGATATGCCCTTAGGGTTGGAGTTCAACCTTTTGGAAGAAGATATGCCCAAATATGAAATTATGAACAGTATTTTCATCTTTTTTAAATTAAGCTCTAAGACGATCTATCCAAATTCACAATTTTCCTCCTCAAATTAAGGTAGGATGAGAAAGAAAATTGTGAATAATTGTGATCGATCTTAGGACTTATATCTTTTTATTCATGCTCAAATATATTGAGATCTTAAGTTGAAAATGACGAAAAAAACCCTAAAAAATTTAGATTTCGGCATGTCTTAAACGGATGGGTGATCGACGTGATCAATTTTGACACAAACAATAGTTGTGGATGAAAATTGGTACTAAAGTAATAATCGTGGATCAAAATTGGTAAAAATTAAACATGTGGACCAAAACTGTCATTTTGTTAATACTCGTGGGACTAAAATTGGTATTTGCTCATTTGGAAATTAAAGTACATTAATCAATCCAGCAAATACCAATTTTGGTCGAGTATTAGCAAAATAACAGTTTTGGTCCACATGTTTAATCTTTACCAATTTTGATCCACGATTATTACGCTTACTTTAGTACCAATTTTCATCCACAACTATTGTTTGTGTCAAAATTCATCACGTCGATCACCCACCCATTTAAGACATGCCAAAGTCTAAAACTTTTAAAGATTTTTTCGTCATTTTCAATTTAAGATCCCAATTTGAGTATAAATAAAGGGATTAAAATTAATCTTCGCAGATCTACTCCTCATCCTACCTAAAAATAATATTTGGCATGTCTTAAACCAAATATATGGAAGTCCTATTATATTATCGTATTCTACATTTTAACATTTTTTCTATTTTTAAAAATATTTAATATAATTTCTTCCGTGCATTGCACAAGTAAAACACTAGTTCAATATGAAATTGACTAATTCGTGCTAGCAAATGAAAATTAAAAAGTTTTTGGATAGTAAATATTTGTGATTTTTGTGAAGATAAATTGTTGCGAATAAGTCTGTTTTTTTAATATATAAAATATAAAATAGCATGATTTAATTATTTCTGTAAAAATAATCCCAATCATGTGTTAATTACTTAATTAACACACTTTTCTTAGAAGTGAACACAATAATTTTTAGAATTTTGTTGGTAGAATTTTTTATCTTTTATTTTTTATTTTTAGAGAAAGTGTGTTCTCTCTTCAACGTACGCTAAGTAGTTTAAATGTTATACACTTATTCACTACATTTTTGTAAAATAAAATTGTCCTTGCACAATTAAATTAAAACTCTAGTACCAGTAGTACGACAGAAAGAATCTTAACATAAATTTGATAGCTAAATAAAAATAATTATATAATAAATAATTTTCTTTAAACGTCATTATATTGTTGCCTTGTTGGTATAAATATATAATTACCATATATAGCATAAAAATAATAAATAATTTTCTTTATAATTTTACACTAATTGCTTTTAAGACTTTTAAATTAATTGCATGTAACTCAAAATTCTTTGATTAACATTTCATTTAATTTTCTCGTTTCAACATAAATATATAAAAAAAAATCCTCCAATATAAGTAAAAAAAAAAATATTAAGGTAATAAGTATGTAACCATTTCAATATAATATGAATTCTACAACTTTTATAGTCTTTATTCATTTATTATTTTTTTTAAATATAATCGTAATTTAATATTAATTAATTAACCATATAAGACACATATAAATACCAAGTATCTATAAAAATGGGGTGAAATGTTGAGTCATTTTCATTCATACCTCTAATTCCCCTTCTTTGTGTTTTTTTTTTTTTTTTTTTTTCTAAAAGACATTTTCATGGAAAGCTCTCAACTCCATGTTGCTCTCCTCTCGAGTCCCGGCATGGGTCACCTTATCCCCGTGCTAGTGCTCGGAGACCACCTCGCCTCCCGCCATAACCTCAAAGTCACCGTTATCGCCATCACCACCTCAGCGGAAACCCAATTTCTTAAATCCCATATGAAAAGTAGTAGCCCCATAGACATAGTCCCCGTCCCCGCCGTCGACGTCTCCGGTCTAATCGACGAGAAAACTCAAGTTTTTACTCAGCTACGGATAACAGTCCGGGAGGCACTTCCGAACGTCCGGTCCAGCATCGCCGCCATGGACCGCCGCCCTGACGCCCTCATCGTCGACGTATTTTGTACCCAAGCCTTGTCCATTGCCGAGGAATTGGGGATTCCGAGGTACGCTTATCATCCGACCACGGCGTGGACCGCCGCTCTGGCCATGTATTTTCAGGTGTTTGATAAGACGATCGAGGGGGAGTTCGTGGACCGCCTTGAACCGTTGAGAATCCCCGGGTGCATGCCGGTCCAACCGGAGGATATGATTGACCCGTTGATGGACCGGAATGACCAGCAGTACCGGGAATATGTTAATCTAGGGATAGAGTACACCCAGTTTGACGGGCTATTAGTTAACACCTGGGAGGAACTGGAGCCTAACACCGTTAAAGCTCTAAGAGAAAATGAGGAGTTACGGGCTGTGGTGAAAGTACCTGTATACCCTATAGGTCCGTTGAAGAGAAAGGTGGAGGCCAAGAATGAGGGGGAGGGCAGAGACGAGATTTTGAAGTGGGTGGATAGGCAACCGGTGGAGTCGGTTTTGTACGTGTCGTTTGGGAGCGGAGGACTCTTGACGGCGGAGCAAACGGCGGAGTTGGCTTGGGGGTTAGAGAATAGCCAGCAAAGATTCATTTGGGTGGTTCGGCCACCCTGTGATTATTCTCCCGTCAGCTACTTGGCCTCCAAATTAGAAACCGGCAATGACGCCGGTGGCCCGGATTACCTGCCAGACGGGTTCCTCTCCCGGACTCGGGATGTGGGATTTGTGGTCCAAATGTGGGCTAACCAGGTGGAAATATTGAGCCACCCTTCAGTGGGCGGATTTCTGTCTCACTGCGGATGGAACTCGACTCTGGAAAGCGTGATGAATAGCGTGCCAATGGTTGCATGGCCGCTGTATGCGGAGCAAAATATGAACGCAACCATGCTGGCGAAGGAAGTCGGGGTGGCCGTGAGGCCAGCGGTGGCGCCGACGGTGAAGGTGGTGAGGAGAGAGGAGATAGAGAGAATGGTGAGAACTCTATTGCAGCATAATGAAGGGAAAGGCATTAGGGAGAAAGTGAAGAAAGTAAAAGGTAGCGGCGAAATTGCACTAAGCAAAGGCGGATCTTCCTACAATTCCATGTGTGAGCTGCTGAAAGACATTGATACAAGAATTCACTAGGATATCCCAATCCATGTCTCTCTCACAAATTAATTAATTTTCTTTTAAACCTCTTTTTTTTTTTAATTAAAAACTGTGCTTTCTAGCTTTGAAGTTTCAACCATGATTTTGTGTCAGCCTTTCATCGCCTTTTGTTTTACATTTTAAACTTTTTTAATAGTAAAGTTAAGTATTATTACTCCATTAATATTTTAAAAATGATTGAAATTAAAGGCGTTGGTTTTAGGACTTTGAGTAGCCCACGGAAGTCCAACACAATACAATCGATAGGGTGATGGATTCACCGGTAAAGAAGGCAAAAGGTGACTTAAAAGGAGGGAAATGTCTATGAAGTATATGGTTGTTTCTATTGTTTCCGAGTATTCTTGATTTGGTAAAAAGCTCCCCCCATTTTTGGGGGAGGCCTATTTAATTATAGGGGACCGGCCTACACTATTCAAAGATAGGAATTAATGTGTAATAATGAGAAATAAAGGTCAAGAGACGTTGAGTCGCCGTTACTAGACTCCTCCAACGGTTGGATTGACCCGCATTAATTGTGGGTATTTAAGTGACAACGGTCGCCTGACCGATTTTTGTTAATACCGACTCTCTGGACTCGGCTTCGTATTCGTCCGACCTTTTCACGAGGTCTTCTCGAGGCCCCCGGAGCAGATTCCCTTTCTTGAGCCAATCATAGCAAGTCCATTCCTTTATTCATTTTCTTCATTTGGACCCTTAGCACATTGGATGGGGTCCATACCCCATCAATAGGTATATAAAGAAAATAGTGATAAATTGTAAATATATTGATATGATAATTGTATCCACCTTTTAATAATAGGAATTGTATGGATATAAAGATAATAGATTAATAGTGATGAATTACAAATATGATTCACTTTTAAAAATAAAAAATTTGTAGGGATGTTGAGAAAATAATAATGATAAACTACAAATATATTGATATGACATAAACGGCGAATTTGTCAAAAATTTGACGAATTCGTCACTAACCAAACAAGGCCTACATGTGATGCATTATTGGTTTATTACAATTTTTGAAATTTTTCCAATTTTCTTTGTCAGTAATAACAAAATTTAATGTTTCGTGACTTTAATTACTTCATATGAAATAATTCAATGGATGCCAAATACTATTTGTGAGACCTACAATAGGGAATGCCTAATCTTTACTTCCTCCAATAATGTTATTTTGCTATGAATATCGCTACATTAACAACAAATCTTCATCAAAATTTTCTCCACAATCTTACGTAACAATTAAACCTTTTTTTTTTTTTTCCATTAATTACTATGAATTAATCGATTAGTGATTTTATCCCGCGTCTAAAAATTGTTTATTAATAAAATATAAATCATGTATTACTATATTATACTGTAACAAATTTTCGTCTTTGTACCAGGTTTGTTTTGCTATCCACTCCATAATATTTTACTCCTTCAAAATTTCCAATGCTAATAGTTTCCGCATTTAATTTTGTACTACTTCTCCTTAAAATGTTGAATCTATAACTCCAAGGGTTCTCATGTAGTAAATACAATAATTCCTACAAATTATAAGGTACTAGGGTCAGATCGTATACGGATCATGTCCTAGTCTGTTTGTTGGTTTAAGTTCTTAAGCTCAGGTTACGTGACAGTGGGTCAGAGGCTCCTGAACTAAAGGTAGGTGGTAGAAGGTGCCAAAAGTTCCCTCCCCTCACATTTAATACGGTATTTATAGGAGTTGCGAGGGGACACATGTCGACCCCTCGGTATGCATGGCACGTGGAACACATGCATAGGGCGAGGTCGAATCCTGTCTGATCCCTCCACGTGCTTAGAGATTCCTGATTCCACCAGACCCACTGCTACTGAACTTAGTCGAGAGAACCATGTTTAAGGCTCTAAGTACCAGGTCAAATGCCCCGCCCCGATCTGATATGGTCGGGACGGGGTAATGAGTCCTAATCTCCGCCGGCTAGTGAAATTATCCTCGGTCGGAGATCTAGGTCGGGTAAGTGTGCAAAAAGTTTGATCATGCTCTGGTAGGTTCAACTCAGTAGGTAGGCACAATACGGATCAAGTATACGCTAGGGTGCGGTCGGAGATAACATGTTCGTACCTCGGCCTAACAAAACATTTAGGAGGATATTTAATTTTTTGTTTGGTTGCACAGGGTATTCCTCCAGTCTGTAGACAGAAAACTAATCCATGTTCCGACGGTCAGTACCAACCGATAGCCTCGTCCCCAACGATCAGCATCAAATAGTATGGGACAAGGTGCTGAACCATCAGGCCAACCATGTTGGTTGGGAGGATATTTAATTTAGGAGTACATTTCCATAACCAAGTTGTACTCGATCTAGTTTAGGATATACCATACGCCTTTGAATCCTGCATCGGAATCACCAATGAGATCAGCATCGCCATGAGTCCATAACCAGCCACGAGGTACCGCAGCATAAGGAGGTTGACCGTTGACTCCGTCTTCTTCCAAGATATATCGAGCCATGGGTTTGAGCAATAGGCCTTCTAAATTTCGTCCCGCTGTTTTTCGATCCAAATCTTCTCTTCTCCCCCGGCACACCGCCACCATGAAGTGAGTTCTTTCGATGTTTTCTACGATATATGTCTATATATTATGCGATTAATATGCAATGGTCTATTGGATTCTGCGTCGTTCCATTTGGATTCTATGTATTGATCTGTTTACGAATTAGGTGGGTAGATCTGTTGGGGTTGGATCTAGCTTCAGGATCAAGTTAAGAAAACAGAAAGTAGGGGTTGACAATAGTGGGATTAATCTGTGTTGTTTAGCATTTCATTTTGCATACATATTCTCGTTTGGAAAACGTTGTGTTTTAGCATTTTACTTTTCATTGTAGTTGGGAGCTGGGTTTTTTTGTTTTTCTTCAGAAGAAGAATGTTGACATAGCATGTATTTATTGGAGAAAAAGTGGTAGTAAACCAAACCAAGATTGAATTTTTGAGAATGGTAACTCTGCATATAAAAGGCAGAAGGTGAGTTCATAGACTCACTCTGTCATGTTAGCACCAATAGGACCCTTGTTAACAGCTTTGTTGACGTGAGTGGCCGTGCACTCCCATCCCTTAAGAGAGGTCAGGAGTTCGAACTCCCTCTTGTATGAAAAAATCAATCTGGCCAGCATTTTGCCCCTTAATTGGCCGGCTTGGTGCGAATGGGGATTAGTATGAGTATAATACGAACTTAAAAGGTGCCTCTTACAGTTAGGGCGTGCTTAGGACACCTCATAGCCTCACCAAAAAAAAATAGGACCCTTGTTTACATTTGGCCTTGATGGAAATGCACTCTAATTTCTCTTTGGAGATTAAGGATAATATTGATGTGCATGTTCTTTTATAAAGGGAAAATTGCATTTTTTATTCTTCGGTTTTGCCCGTGGTACAAACTTAGTCTCTAGTCTCTTAGTTATATGTGTTACCATCTTTTAACTCCTAAGTTATGCGCAAAGTGGAGATTTTAGTCCCTTAGGAACTATTTCTGTCACCAATTTGTCACTTAATAAAGTGATTGATTTGGTCCTTCAAGGAGATAGTCATGCATATAACTCAGGACTAAGTCTCTAGTATAACTAGAGGACAAAAGATGCAATTTTTCCTTTTATAAATATATCTCTTTCATTTGTGGCAGTCCTTTGTGAACTTAGAATACTTAATCCACAGTTGTATGACTTGTATCATGTGTTTTTTTACATGAATAGTTGAAGCTGCATTTTCAGTCTTTGTAGGTTTGTAGGGCCGTAAGAGTGTCACGTTTATTTGGTCTCATACTTCATTATCTATTTGATCAAATGGTTATTTAAAGTTTAGATGGAAGTGCTTATTCCTAAACAGAAATATATGTTTTACATTCTTTGAATACCAATTGGTTGACTGGAGAAGAATCTCATGATTTATTTGGAAATGTTTACAGAACGAGGAAACTTTTTGGGATTTCGCTCTCTATATTAATAATCAACATGGCCGCAATAATGGAGCGGGCCGATGAGAACCTCCTTCCAGCTGTGTACAAAGAAGTCAGTGAGGCATTTACGGCAGGACCATCTGATCTTGGATACCTCACGTTCATAAGGAACTTTGTGCAGGGAATTGCATCACCTGTGGCGGGTATATTGGTCATAACCTATGACCGCCCAACAGTCCTTGCAATTGGCATAGTGTGCTGGGCTCTGTCAACAGCGGCAGTGGGTGCAAGCACGTTTTTTTTACAGGTTGCATTGTGGAGAGCGGTAAATGGCTTTGGACTGGCAATTGTAATACCAGCGCTTCAGTCCTTCATAGCCGATAGCTATATGGATGAGGTGAGAGGGGCTGGATTTGGGTTTCTAAATCTTATCGGGACTGTGGGCGGTATAGGAGGTGGAGCTATTGCTACGGTTATGGCTGGTTACAGTTATTGGGGCATCCCGGGATGGCGTTGCGCCTTTATCATGATGGCGACGTTGAGTTGTTTGATCGGGTTTCTTGTTTTTATGTTTGTTGTTGACCCAAGAAAAGTAGCTAAGATTGACCATGAAAACCCAAAATCTTCTGAAAGGTATTGAATTACTTCTTCGAGTTTGCATTTGACCTTTAGATTACTTGGTTGGAACAGGATGATGATTGAGAATTCGTTTTTTTCTTTTCTTCTTAGAGATGAATTAGTACCGAAGGGAAATGCCAGTTCAATGCCGATTTGGGTGGAGTCCTGGACAGCCATGAAAGCGGTTATGAAAGTGCAAACGTTTCAGTTTATTGTCTTGCAGGGCCTGGTTGGATCGATTCCTTGGACTGCCATTGTCTTCTTCACGTTATGGTTTGAATTAATTGGTGAGTAGAATTCGAGTTTATTATGGCGCTTTATCATAAAGTTGTGATTCTTCGATATACTCCATCAACGACTTATGTAAACTCATTATGCAGGCTTTGATCATAACGGGGCAGCTGCACTAGTTGGCCTTTTTGCCGCTGGATGTGCTTTGGGATCCTTTTTCGGGGGAGTAGTAGCAGATCAGATATCGAGAGCATACCCTTATTCGGGGCGGATCATGTGTGCACAATTCAGCGCTTTTATGGGCATCCCGTTCTCATGGTTCCTTCTTCGAGTTATCCCTCAATCTGTAAGCAGCTACTATACGTTTGCCACGACCCTATTCCTGATGGGACTTACCATCAGCTGGAATGCCACTGCCACAAACGGCCCCATGTTTGCCGAAGTGGTGCCTTCGAAACACCGTACCATGATTTATGCTTTCGATCGTGCGTTTGAAGTATCCTTCTCGTCTTTCGCTGCTCCTACCGTGGGCATCCTTGCTGAGAAAATATACGGGTATGATGCCAAATCTGTTAATCTTAACGGTTCTCCTCGAGAGGCTTATGCACTTTCGAGAGGCCTGTTCGCAATGATGGCAGTGCCATTTGCGTTGTGTTGCTTGTTCTACACTCCACTATATTGGACTTACAAACAAGACCGCGAGAATGCAAGAGTAGCCAGTGCAAAAGAAACAGAGATGATATGATTAATTCACACCACCTTACATCCTAGGTTACTCGATTCTTCTTAGACTCCCTTCGTTTTTTCGATACACTCTAACCTACTAGTAGTATCTGATTCAAACCTAAAACCTTCCTTATGAAAGATAACAGTGATGCTATCAGACCACAAGATACTTGGCCTTAGACTCCCTTTTTAACACTCCCTAAAGATGAACTGTTGTACTCAGATAGTTGTTCTGGTCTGCACCGGTTCAAGACAAAATCCGCCTCTTTTCGGATTTGCAAAGCAGTGCCCAAGTCTTCCTTCCTGTGTGGAGAATGTTGCTTCTTAGCAGTATACGAGAGCAGAAAGATAAGATAGAATGGTATTGATCACACTGCATTTCCACTACTCTAACAGATTTACTTGCTGTTGTGTTTCTTGATTATCAGCCCTGTATACAGACCTTAGCACACTGGACAGTATTAGAGTATAGTTTAGTTTTTTTTTTTTTTTTTTTTTTTTTTTTTTTTTTTTCTTGAGGATTGGATCTGTAATGTACTTTGGGTTCAAAAGGTGCAAATAGTACATTGTTATTACTAGCATTTTGCTTGTTTTTCAAAGTCTAAGGTTACAAATACAGTATTCAACATTCTAGTTTCTTTGATGGTGCTTGGCATTTTAGTGAATTGTATTAGATGTTTTGATTGTTAGTACTATTAACTCTATTACAATGTAGTATCTGTCCATATTAGCATTGGTAATTAAATTATTATTATATACATATATATATATATATATATATATATATATATATATATATATATATATATATATATATATATATATATAGAGGAAGGTTCAAGTGCGGCGGTGTGGTCAATTGTAGGCCATTAGATTAGATAAATCCAATGAATCACATTCGTCAGGGCTTCTCCGATATTTTTGCGCACATTCTCACTCTACGAGAACTGTAAGGTTAAAGTCGTTACTGGGCACCAGAAGAGGGCAAATCATAGTGTTGTGTGTTTTATGTTCGTTATTGGTGCATTATTAACCTTACTCAGGGTGTATTTGTGGATTCGTGTTGGTGCCTTCCTGTGTGGTCAGTGCGACCGCACTAATAGTTATACAAATATACACCATCCATGTTAGAAAATGCACACCAAAAAAACATGCACACAGTGTTCGGAAATACACCATTGGGGTGATGAGTTATATGGTGCATTTTTTTGGGTGTGTTGTGTGTTATTTTGGTGTATTTGTGCATTTCATTGTTGTGCTTTTCCTAACACTATTAGTGTCTTTTGTTAACACTATTGGTGTATTCTGTTAAACGACCGATATAAATGACCACTATAATTACCATAATACCCCCCACTTACGAAGACGCGCTTAAATCTTCAAATCTTCATAAATTAGCCGCTGCCGTCAGATTAAGCAAAATGGACGATGCTGATATTACTGCACCGCCATACCTAAGGACCCTGCCGCATATGAGCTTTATTTTATATATATATATACTTTTCTAGTGAAACCCTAGTTTAGGCAAGGGTATTTTTGTCTTTTTAATTTTTTTTTGTTATTATTTTCCCAATAAGTTAATTCTAGTGGAGGTCTCTTATTTTAGGCGTATTTTCCGATGACAAAGAAGAGAATTCTTTCTTCTTCTTCTTCTTTTTCATTTTTTTTTTTCATAATCTATAGCTATAATAGATGATTCACAGAATCATGAACTAAAACAATAGTGATCAATTGAAGCCAATTAGGTGGCAACATCCTGAGCTTTCTCATTGCGTTGCAAAATGATTTTCTTACATGCAAAGATCCTCATGTACTTGGTATCACCATTGACAAAGGACGATTTGGGGTTAGCTTGAACTGTTGAAGGAGATGAAGGCGAGCCGGTTGAAGGAGATGGTGCAATCCACGGCTGAAGAGACAAAATTAAAAAATTTTAAAAATTGGCATGAAAAACTTTTTTTTTAATGAAGAGATGAAAATGCTCTAAAATAGGGTTTCACCTCAAAAAAGTTATCGGATGAACCAAAAGTATCCAAAATACGATAATTTGGGTTGTTAAATGACAATTTGGGACTAAATTTGAAATTGTCACCGAAAACAAAGAACCTTTGCTGGAATTAACTCTTTGAAAAAAATTTAAAAAAAAATAAAGAGAGGAAAATACCCTTGCATAAATAGGTTTCATTGGAAAAGTCATCGTAAGAATCAAAAGTGTCCAAAATATGATAGTCTAGGGTGTTAAATGGCAAAATCATAATTTAGGATTAAATTTAAAATTACCACCAAAGATAAAAGACCTCCGTTGAAATTAACTCATAAATATAAATTAATGGTATAAATTAGTAACAAAATAGTCTTTTGAATTAAAATCAAATCAAATATGCAAATCCAAAACTTTATTGTCAATGTTTTGTCCCAAAATCGTTAATGTGATCCATTATTTACCAAAATCTAACTTTAGTAGTTTCACTAATCCACAATCAAATGCCAATACAAATTAGATTGAGAGTATAATTTGAGTTTACAGGACAGAAATTGTTAGAATGAAAGAATATATTCTAGAAAAAATTGTTAAATAAGTCCTTTTAAGTCAAATAAATAGTGCAATTAAGTCTTTAACTAAAAAAATTTTGATCTATAATCCTAAAATTGGCAAAAATGTAAAATTGAGTTCAAATGCAACCTTAGTTAGGATGTTCCAATAATATGGCTAACATATATGTTTCTAATGCTTATGCGGATCCCACGAGCACTTTTCCTTCTTTCTTTTTTTTTTTTTTTTTTTTTTTTTTTTTGTAATTATTTTAATTTTTTATTTTTTATTTAGAAACAACCACTAATTGAGACAGTCAATGACTATCTATAATGACGAAAGTTCCATTTCTTGCAAATTAGCCCTTGAATTTTGGTGGATCCTTTAATTTTTGTTACATTCTGATCTATCTTTTCTATATTACACACTAATTATTATTTTTTTATGAAACACTTTAATTTATCAAACGTGTTTGTCACATCGATCAATAAATGTATCAATGTTTGTCTCCGTCACAAATGTATCAAGCATAATGTCATATACCATTACCACTTTTACTATTCTCATATTATTTGTGTTGAGAAGTAGAGATGACACATTCAATCCCTTTATAACAACTGTATCAATTTATTCCTACTGTCATTTGCAATCAAGATTTAATTATTTATCTATTATTATGAAAGTAACATTTTTTATCCCTAAAAAAAAACTAAATATCACCAATACATTGGTTAATAATATGGCTGATTTTACCCGTATAACAACTAAGTTGATCACAATGATAAAATTTAAAAACAATGACCCTAAAGTGAATCTCATCAATGAGAGTGTGAGAGCAAAAGTCCAGTGTCAAAAATAAAATAAAAAGTAGAAGATACTCCGACTCAAAACTCAACTATTATTGCTTTGAAGTACAACATAAATTTATTAAAAAGAAAAAAAAAATGTACAAGTGTACAACATAAATTATTCAGACTTTCTAGTCATTGGAATTTAAAAGTTGGCAAATAACTCAAACACCAATGCATGGCACCATGAAATATAAACCATTCACTTTCTCTAAGAAACAAACTAATTAGTAAAGTTACGTAATGTCGCACCGGGCTCACAAGCCTTGGCCGCCGGAGAAGGCTCCACGGACGGCGACGGAGGCACAGGGGTCCCGGTCAACTCCGCCGGCAATTTCTCAATACCCTTCAAGTAAAAGGTGTAGAACAGCTTAAACGGATAGACGAGCTGCCGGAGCTTCACCTGCCCGGTAACCCCTTCAAAAATGCCAGACCCGCCGGTGACGGCGAGATAAGACTCATCGTAGGTGAGGTAGGGCCCCTGAACGGCGATGTGGCCGTAATCCCCAAAGTAGAAACTGAAAACGGCCTCGTAACGGTCGCCGCCCTTCTCCTCCTCGTGCTTGATCAGAATGCATAGCCCTGCGGTGATGCCTACGCGCACCTGCAAGTCGCCGGAGTAGACCTTGTTGGTGAAGGGAACGAGATCGCCGAGAGAGTTGACCTTCTTGTTGCTTAGCCGGAGATACGCCGGACTGCCCCGATCACGCTCGTTGATCTCGTACACATACATCTCTTGAACATCACCTGAAATCAACCAAATATATAACATTAAAGCAAAATGTAGTTAATAGTTAATATTGTACATTTATCTTTATGGCCCTTTTTGGTAAAACATTGACCTATAGTCAATTTTGACTTATTCGATCATTATTAATTGTTTGATTTAGTTAAAATACTAATATAAATGTTTGGTTAATTAGTTTTTTGTAAGTCCAAAATGTTAAAATTCAAAAAGTTACTCAAAGCAACTTTTTTAATTAGCTTTTTGAGAAAAGAAATTATATCAAACAACTATCAGGTAACAGCTAATTTACTAAACACTTTTCACAATCCTAATGTTATCAACTATTTAGGCCATCTCCAAGGGGACTTTATTCCCTCAAAACACAAAAATGAAATGGCGCAAATCTACTCCAATGGGGCGCCATTTCACTAAATATTTGGCGCAGCACTGTGAACAGTGCGCCAAATCTGTATATATATTTTTTTCGTTTTTGACCCCTCCTTTTTGTTTTATTCCTTTTGTGTTTTATTTTTTGTTTTAATATATTTGTATATTTTGTTAAGTTGTTAACTATAAATTTTATATTATTTAAAATGAATTATATCATTTGAAAGATCCCATCAAGACGATTAAAATAAGTCTAATATTGAACATAGATTAATTAAAAATGAAAACACATAAAGCTTAATTATAACAAAATTAAAGCAACTTACATACTTAATTTAAAGCAAACACATAAAACTTAATTAAAAATAAAATTACATAAAATATAATTAAAGTCTAATTTATTAAATTACAACTATTAGTTTTGTTAAAAGAATAAAAGTATAAATATAAACTTTATGAGGGTGTAGGAATAAAATTTGGTGCAGAATTTAGTGTAATGGGTTGGAGATGGAAAAAATTTGGTGTAAGAATATGGGAATATTCCTTTTTGGTGTAAAATTTGGTGCAATGGTTGGAGATGGTCTTATACCATCTAATTAACACAATCAACTAATATTATCAACTATTTATACCATCTAATTAACACAATCAACTAATTGCTAACAGCTATCAGCTAACAGTCATTTTACCAAACAAGGCCTATATGTTTATATATTATAGGCTGAAGTAGCAGTTACCGGCGGCAGGATTTGAGTCGGATAGGCTGCTCTGGCTCTTGACAACCACTGATCTTTTAGGGGCGGCGGGGGGTGCATGAGAGAGAGGTTTTTTGAGCTGAAGGGTCGGAGTTGGAGAGAAGGGGAAGGGGAAGGGACGGCGCAGGCGGCGAGCTTAGGTGAAGAAGAAATGGCTCGGGAAGCGGCGGCGAAAGTTGAGGAAGGGGAAGCAACAGCCATTGTGAGAGTTGAAGAAGAGATCAGAGGGTATTGTAAAAGCGTGGTGAGAAAGGGGAAACAAAGAGTGGGTATATATAAGTGGAAGGAGGGGCCGGGCCGGGAGTGATGAGGCTCTTTGGTTTCGCCGGAAAGAGAGATGGTCGGTGAAACTCGGCGGCCTTTATCAGTTGGACTGTGAGTGGAAAAGTCGCCGAAGCCTTTTCACATCACATAAGCCTTTATCATTTGTTAAGGGAGCTAAAGCCTTTTCACATCACATGCATAATTGTCCCAATTGTAAAACCAACAATATTAAGTCATTTTTTAATGGAATAAGGTTCAAATTGACCACTGAACGTAACATGAAAATGCAATTAGGCCACTGAACGAAAAAAAAAATGCAATTAGGCCATTGAACAATCTAAAATTGTGCAATTTCACCTGATAGCAGGTTACCCTCAATTTTAGCAGGTTATCTGCTTATGTGGCAGCTGAGTTGACATTTTTAATAAATTTTAATAATAACTTTTTATTAAATTTTTTTTTTAAAAAAAAAATAAAAACGATTTTATTTTATTTTTTTATTTAATTTTTTCCAATTTTTTATAAAATTTATTATTAAATTAATTATTAAAAATTATTAAAAATGTCAATTAAGCTGCCATGTAAGCAGGTAACCTACTAAAATTGATGGTAACCTGCTATCTGGTAAAATTGCATACGTTTGGAGAGTTCAGTGGCCTAATTGCACATTTTTTGAGTGTTCAATGGCCTAATTGCACTTTTTTTTCGTTCAGTGGCCTAATTGCATTTTCAGGTTACGTTCAGTGGCCAATTTGAACCTTATTCCTTTTTTTAAAATAGTAACTAAAAATAATTACAACAATATGTCTCCCAAAAGGTTGAATCATCAATTCCAATAGGAATAAGGTTCAAATTGGCCACTGAACGTAACCTGAAAATGCAATTAGGCCACTGAACGAAAAAAAAAAAAAAAAAAAAAAAAGTGCAATTAGGCCACTGAACACTCCAAAAACGTGCAATTAGGTCACTGAACTCTCCAAACCTATGCAATTTCACCGGATAGCAGGTTACCATCAAGTTTAGCAGGTTACCTGCTTACGTGACAGCTGGGTTGGCATTTTTAAATAATTTTTAATAATTAATTTTAATAATAAATTTTATAAAAAAATTGAAAAAATAAATAAATAATAAAATAAAGTCGTTTTTATTTTTTTAAAAAAAAATTTAAATAAAAAATTATTATTAAAATTTATTAAAAATTATTTAAAATTTATTAAAAATGTCAACTCAGCTGCCACGTAAGCAGATAACCTGCTAAAATTGAGGGTAACCTGCTATCAGGTGAAATTGCACATTTTTTGAGTGTTCAGTGGCCTAATTGCACTTTTTTTTCGTTCAATGACCTAATTGCATTTTCAGGTTACGTTCAGTTGCCAATTTGAACCTTATTCCATTCCAATAACCTTAAATCCTGATCCGACAAAGTATTTGAGTTAATCCTGTGCGGACTTCTACCTTTTCTATTATCTAATAATGTAGCAATTGCACCAAAACATAATGGTGGGGAGAAATACCAAATAACACTAAATTTAACAAAACATAATGGTGGGGGGAAACACCAAATAACAAGAGTTCGTTGTAATTTTCTCTCAAATGTTTTATTGGATAGGGTATAGAAAATCCCTTAAAGTTGGAGATTCAACCTTTGAAATATCCGTGATACCCATAAGGGGGCGTTTGGTTCAAGGAATCTTTGATTATCCCAGTGATGGTTTTTGAGTTTTCGGGCCCAAGGAGGTCCAACACAACCTTAAGCTGGTGGATACACCTTTCACAAAAGGGTTTAAGTCTTAGTAAAATATGATGCTTAGTAGTACTTGTCTATTCCCACTCCGGGTTCTTGAATCTGCCTCATACAAGGGTGGAGGAGCCCTCTTTATAATGGCTCCTCCTCTACTGACTTAAAGGCTTATGATGGCCGACTTAAAGATTACATTCAATGCGCCGAGCCGTTGGGCGACGTTACGGACTCTGTCAACGGCTCTCTTTGGCTAGTAACTGGCGGACCGAGCCCGGCCTTTAATGCCTCAACGGCTCCTTGTCTTAACTGCGTTGAAGGCTCCCTCAACGGCTCTCTGGACCGAGTCCTCTCCTAGGTCGGGCCTGGGCCGACTCCTCGTCCCCGTTTGGTATTGGGCCGTCCTTCCAGTCTCTGAACTGGGCCTCCCTCTTTGGACCTGGGCCGAGTCCCGGACTCGGCCCATGCATTCTTTCTGGGCCTCTCTTCTTGGGCCGGGGTTCTCACCCCATCACCCAGGTAATAGGATTACTTGGGGGTAAGTAATGTGAGATTTTGGGAATGTAAGATTACCTGATGTGTTTGGTTAAAGTTGTAGGAATGTAACATTAACTTGTTTTGTTGAAGGTTATATTTTAAGTTATATTACATCAATTACTTAAATGCCCTCATAGAAATTGAAAGGTGTAAATTACAAGTTTTTTTTTCATAATTCAAAATTTAACAAGATGGTTCTACTACTAATAATAATAATAATAATAATAATAATAATAATAATAATAATAATAATAATGATGATGATGATGATGATTGAATGTGTACTGTAAGTAAAGATGAAATTCAATAATAATAATAATAATAATAATAATAATAATAATAATAATAATAATAATAATAATGCAATGCAATGCAATGCAATGCGTAATTCAATAACAACAACAACAACAACAATAATAATAATAATAATAATAATAATAATAATAATAATAGAATAATGAGGTTTATGTAATGAATAGAAGAGAAATAAATGAGGACAATTTTGGAATATTGAAAAGTAATCTCACATTACCTAACTAAAACTTGGTAATCACATTACCTCAAATATACCCCCATTTCCTACGTGGTAGTAATCTTACATTACTTACCCTCTCAGATTACCTAAACCAAACATGGTAATCTAAGATTACCTTTCTCAGATTACCAAGGTAATCTGAGATACCTTGAACCAAACGCCCCCTAAGGGCATCCCAAAAGGAGATTTTTGAGGAATTTTGGCTCAATTTTTTAGGGAGGAAGAGTGAGTTGGAAGAGAGAGAGGAAGGAGAGAGATGAAACTTTTTGCTCCTGCAAACACCCCTAATTTTGCAGAATGTGGGTCCCACAATTTGAATGGAGAGTTGCGCCTCATGCTCGCGCCCAATGCACGCGCCAGCCTGGGGCGAAAAACAATTTAATTTTTTTTCTTTTTCAACTTTTGATTTTATTTTTTTTTCTTTTAGTTTTTTTTTTCTCCCCTCTCATTTTCTCTTTCATAATCATACATACAAAAACTCCTCAAAATCCTCATTATTGAGGATGCCCTAAGAACTCTACCAAAATGTACTAAAAGAGTCTTGTTTTTTTTATCTCCCTTGCTTTAATTTTACTTTACATCTTTAGGCAGCATGTGTTGGCCTGCCAACATGCTCTCATCTTTTTCACTACTATTATTATACTTACTTTCACTTTCATTTAAGTTTTTTTCTTTTAATTATTTCGATATGCCCAATACATCACAAATAAAATCAAACTTACTTACCAAAAATTTTATGAGTAAATTAATAAAATCTGTAAATATTTCAAAAGTTTATTATAGTGACACATTTCAATTGACTTTTAGAAAGAAAATGAATAGTAACTTTTTTCTCTTTTTAATCCAATAAAATCAAATTATATGACACAAATAATACTCTCAAAAAATACTTTTGAATATGCACATAAATGTAAAACGTGCGTTAAAACTTTACGCATGGTTGGCTAATGTGGATAATATAATGGAAACTCCTTTTGTAAATACTTTATGTTTGTCTTTCCAATACATGATTCAAGGGTCTTGCAAAGCAATATGTATTTATTGATCCTGCTGGGTAAAATAGTTAGTCCATTAATTAATTTTTTTATTTTTTGATAACTATTAATTGTTTGACTTGGTTAAACAATTAATATAAGTGTTTGGTTAATTAGCTTTTTGTAATAGCTTATTGTTCCAAAAGGCTAAAATTTAAAAAGCTACTCAAAACAGCTTTTTCAATTAGCTTTTTGAGAAAGACCCTGTTTGGTAAAAAATTGACTTATAGGTCAATTTTGGCTTATTTGACCACTATTAATTGTTTGATTTAGTTAAAATATCAATATAAGTGTTTGGTTAATTAGTTTTTTGCAACTCCAAAATGCTAAAATTCAAAAAGCTACTCCAAACAACTTTTTCAATTAGCTTTTTCAGAAAAGAAATTATACTAAACAGCTATCAGCTATTAGCTAATTTACCAAACATTTTTCTACAACAGCTAATATTATCAACTAATTATACCCTCTAATTAACACAATCAGCTAACAGCTAACAACCATTTACCAAACAGGGCCTTTGTCATTTTACATATAATCAGCTATCCGCTAACAGCTAATTTATCAAACATCTTTCTACAATCAACCAATATTATAAACTAATCAAACTCACTATCTCAATCAACTAACAGCTGTTTATCAAACACTCCCAATATGTATAATAAATTTTAACCATTTTTTCTGTCTCTTGAATATATGCAGTAATTTTACTTTTGTTGATTCCTCCGACACATTTGGTTATCTGATTTGCATAATTGACCATCGTTGACTCCAATAATGTCACAAATTTAGAATCCGTATAGAAACACAAAAATTGTTTTCTAAAAAATGAATTCCATGTGATCTTGTTTGTCCTTTATGCGGTTTGGAAAATGAAGATATATTGCATTTATTTGCTAACTGTGTCTTTGCTCGTCAGTGTTGGCATATAGTAAATGAACACTGGACTCTATCTTATGCTGACTCGCTTACGGGATGGTTGGAGGAGATGTGGACGGGATTGGCCAAACATTTGCTTGAGAAAATTGTCATTATGCATGCTAAGAAAGGTTTGTTTGCTGTCCGTGAGGCTAAAGCAATTGTTGCTCGTGAAGCCCTGAGCTGGTTAAAGGATCATGGGTGGCAGCGATTTGTTCTGGAGACGGATGTCCAAGTTGTAACGCATGTTGTCACGGCTGGTCAATCAAATACGCCATTCGGTTTCATCATTCAAGAGATCCGTACTCTACTTCGCCATATGCCTCTCGTAGAATTTCGTTTTGTGCCTCGTAGTCGTAATATGATTGCTCACTCTTTAGCAAGACATGCTTTAAACTATGAGGGGGAGGGCATGCTTGGGTTTTTTGACTCTGTGCCTGGTTTTATTTCTGCGTTTTGTGTCTGAACTTGGCTTTCTAAATATATTGAGGTTATTCTGGTTTTTCAAAAAAAAAAAAAAATGATTTCTATAGTCAAGCATCTTGTATTCAGATGGCATGTAGTGATCTCTTCCATGTGATCGGTCATGAGATTGAGCTTCAGTGGAGGCGTTGTTGACTCTTTGTGCTTCATTACATTGAGAAAGTATGTTTGAACATCTAATAGAGTTATTAGCATTAAAATAATTATTTAAAAAATATATATATTTTTTACTTCTTCGTGTTTGGCTAGAAGTCAGAAAATAATTTTTTTTCTATTTGGCTAGAAGCTAAAAAAATTTATATTTTTTCTATTTGAAAAAAAAAAATGAATGTAAATCTATTACAAAATTATTTCTTATAAAATATTAATTATTTTCATAAATTAACAAGGATAATAATTTCGAACTAAATAAATTAAAGAATTTTTTTGGATGTGGATCGGGTCAAATCAAGATTGTTATTGTTTAATTTAACTTAGTCAAACTCATATTTAATCAGAAATTGAGGAATGTAACGACTTTGAACTAAAGAAATTGAAGAACAAATATTACTTTTTTTTTTTTTTAAAGTTGTGGACCGGTAGCCGCATTCTACCTCAAAGGAAGAAGGCAATCGGTTGATCACCTTCTTCCTCAAATGAAGAAGGTGACCAGTAGGCCGCCTCCTCTGGGTGAAAGGTGACCAGTCGGTTGCCTCCATTAGAGAAGAAGGCGACCGATAATTGCCTCTTGGAGAAGAAGGTAACCAGCAATCGTTCGCCAGTAGTCGATCGTAGATTTTTTATCAAAGCATTGGCTGAACTCTAACGGTCAGCTATTACAGGTCACTCAAAGTTTGACCAAAGCATTGGTGGAATTGTGGTTATGACAACATACAACTAGCCACCTTTGACTTACAGCGTGTTTGGGTTGTACTTTGTAGAATAGATATTCATGGAATAACATTTTGTGTAATTAACATCTTCTTCAATTTAGTTAGTTTATTTATTTATTTATTTTATACATTAGCTATTTCCATTATAAGTCATCCCCTACTATATTTGTTATATATTCCCGTTATCAGGAGTAGTCATTATTATCCCTCTAAATCTTTTCCATTTTAAGGCTCCATTCAGTTAAAATTAATTTTAAAAATTGTTATTAGAACAATGAATTATTTCACCACTATTTTTTAAACAACAACAACAATAACAATAATAAATTTGAGTGGTACCCATCTCACTACCTTTTAAAATGCACTCTAAATGAATTAAATAATAGACAAAATTTATAGTGTACATTTTTAAAAAAAGTACCGTGATAATTAATTTCTCAATTATAATCAAAATATAAAGTTAATATATCCTCGAAGTGGGATATATATTTCCTAATATTAGAATTTCTTTAAAACCCTAGAAACCAAATTAGTCACCCATAACTAAATCTATCTATAGCCGCAGGAATATACGTGACTGAAAATAAATGTCATTTTCTATAATAATTTTCCCTTATATATATGTTTATCTAATTATCCCGTAAACTAAACACTATTGGAAAGAAGATTTGATGCAGATTAGATTTGGTGGGCCCCATTGAAGGCCAAAGCTATGGTGGAGAAGTACAAAGGATACAGATGGCACAGACTTATTGGGACAAGCAGGATAAGGTGCATAGGTTTCCTTGGATTTTCTTTTTCTTAGCTTCTCACAATTACTATATATAATGCGTTGTGTCACTGTTACGTTTCCCTACTTCCCTTCGCTGCGGACTACTCTCTCTTCCTCCGCATTAATGGAACTACGATGAACCATCCAACAACCTCGGAACTGCCTTCCACTTCTTTAACTCTTGTCCACTTGTCTTTGTGAGTATATGTGTATATATATATATTTGTCTGAACTGATATGTCTATATCTGCAATTAACATATTATGTTCTTTCAGTTAACAATTTATGTGTACGTAATTATCATGTTATGTGTCTACAATTACTATGTTATGTACCTTCAATTTATTTACACTTACTGAAACGATTAATCGCAAATGTGTCAATGGTAGATATAAGATTTGAAGGTTATTTTTGAATTAGGGTCTACAATACAAGTAAATCCTGGTTATGATATAACTTGTCTATAGTGTTGGACTTGGCCCTTTGGGCGTCCGCCCAACAATCCCCTAGTCATATGATGTTCGACTTGGCCTTTTATCGGATCTCCCCCAACAATTTTTCTAGACATGTCAGCCTTAACTGGACAGTTTACTTGAACTCAGACATGTGACTTGACTATGATACTAGGATCAAGCATCATACACCATTTATGATTTTAGTTTCTTGTGACATGTTGACCATTGTTCCTGTTTGCTTAGGTTTTGATAGGTGTAAATGTTAGTATTCATGTATTCTGAAACCACTATTCTGTTCTATATATGCATTCTGAAGGCGTGGCAACGCTCTTTTCTGGCGCTGAAACAACACTAGTAAGAGACAAGAATGGCGTGCGGGGCTGTTTTAGGAGGAAGGGTACAAAAACAAGGATGTTTGGAACATCTTGGTATCCTTAGAAGACCACCACTTAGTGGTCTTCTAAGGAGAAGAGTGTGCAGAGTTCAAAATGCTTTAAACTCTAGTGAGAGGCAACTGAGGTGCTTGGATGCATACTTTGATAAGCTACATGATGATTCGAAGCGGTTTTCGATTCTGGATAATGGAAGGGCCAAGTTGCAGGATAAGATTAGAGAATTAGCTTCAGAGAGAGCAGTTAGAAGTTTGGAAGGTTACAAGGATAAAATCAGTAAGTATGAGCTAGCTAGCTAAGCTAGAACCATGAGAATAGAATCATTCATCCTTAGCTTGAATTCGTTATTCCTCGATCTAATGGTGTTCGATTTGTTCAGTGGCGAAGGCGGGAGACCATCTGCCGTCTGATTCTGATGGAAAAACTCGGGAAAGATCACCATATACTTCTGCCAAAATAATCTATGGAGGAGGTAACAAAGCTAAGAAATTTCACAACTATGTGGAGGTAAAGGCCAATGATGGTGAGACTGGTTTGAAGAATTCAAATGAAGACACATCGAGTTTGTACTTAATGTAATGACATCCCTCTTTGCTACCCTAATAGATACTTACAGCCCGTTTGGTTGGAGGGAATTGCAAGTCCTTTCAATTCCCTCCTTGCAACCAAACGCCCGTTAATTTGATGGACGGAGGCCAGTAATGGCCAAGTCCAGCACCTTGCCTCTGGAAAATGTGATCGCAGTGTATAAGTTGGCATAGTGGTAAGCTTTTGATCCTAACAGTAATAACTTTGATCATCTCTGAATGCAGAGGCACTTTGGCTTCCATAAATGTAGGAGTTTTCCTCTTCGAAATAGCGAGTCCAGTTAGGAATGCTGAGTTAGAGCTGTGCTCAATCCCATCACTTTACGGGGCAAAGATAAACGATCTGATCCTTATTGGAGAGTGGTGGAGGCTTGTAACACCAATGTTTCTGGTACAAGATTGACAACCTTGGTTCGTTAACGTTCTTATATATATGATGATGTTTTTATTTATCTGCTCGATCTATAGCTCTCCATCTTCTTGAACATCTGCAAGACTGTTTAACTAATGGGATTATAGACATTATCTCATAATGTAGCATTCAGGTGTCCTCCATATGGCGCTTGGCATATGGGTACTTCTTAGCTTCGGGCCTCCAGTATGCAAAGCATATGGTTCGTTTACGTTCTTTCTGATATATGTACTCGGGGGAATATCGGGCAACTTGATCAGCTTTCTCCACACGCCAGAGCCAACTGTTGGAGGAACTGTAAGTGCAACCAACATATATAGTATACTTGTTAGTTACTTATCTTTGTCTGAGGCTTCATTACTGTGTTCTGCAATGCGTTTTCAGGGACCGGTTTTCGCCCTAATAGGCGCATGGCTAGTTTGTAAAGCTCAGAACAGAGATATGGTTGAAAAGGAAGTTTATGGAAGCATGTTTTGCAAGGCCATGCTTGCCACTGCTCTCAGCTTTGTACTAAGCACTTTCGGCCCGATTGATGACTGGTTAGTAGCTATACCTCGTAGCAAATGCGCAACTTTATTTCCTTATAGAAGGACCGCCATCACATAAACCAGTCTTGCTCTGACACCACTTGTTGGAATCAAACGCTTACCACTACGCCAAAAGCTATAGCTAGCTTACAGCGAAGACGCAACTTTGTTCCTTATACTGTCACACATTTTCGAGAGCCAGGGTGCTGGATTTGGCCATTTACCAGCCTCCGCTCGACAATCCCCTAGCCACATGGTGCTAGGCTAGGCTCTTACCGGCCTCCGCCCAACATTAGTAATGAAGTGTTTAATATAGGAACTTTTAAATTGATGTTGTTGGTCCACAGGTCACATTTTGGAGCAGCAGTGGTGGGTGTAGCTTATGGGTACTTGGCTTGTGGCCCAACTCTTGAAATGGACAATGCATCATCCGATAGCAGTCAAAAAGAAGGCATCACACTTGTGAAACAATCTGCAGAGAATCCTTATAAATCTCTTATATATTTCTCATTGTTCATTCTACTGTTATGTTCACTACTTTTGATCATAGAGCCTCCACTCAGCTCAGTCAGCACTGATGAGTTTTAAGGTTGTAGCAGTGACATACAAATGAGATGTAAATATTTGGCAATACATGTAATACATACATCCTATATATATTCCCACTTTTGTTATGATGCACTTTCAGGCTTCCAGAAATGATCCATGGTTCAAAATAATATAGCTCTGCTCATATTTTGTACTATAATACCAATATGTCCAAAGAAAACAGTATAGTGTTTGCAGTTATACAGGAAAGCCAAATCTCTACCAGAGTTCTAATACTATATAAAGTAGTGAGCGAACTTCACAGAGGCTGTTCAGGTTCGCGTGTGTGCCAGTTTACGAGTGCCAGCGTATGGCGGCCCCCACACGCCACGAGTGTAGCGCACCACTGTCCTTCAGCGTCGCTCAGATCCTTTGGAGGTGGAATGTTGATGGGCACTTCCGAAGGATGACCAGTTGTCACCTTTCTCCCGTATCCTAGTCGTCCATGGTCTCCTCGCCCGAACTGCCAAAGTCCATGATTAGTGTCACTCAAATTCTTGAATTTCCATTTCTTAATTCATTTGGTCGGGGAAACGAATAACGATCTTGATCTGAGCTAGCAACTTGACCAAAGTTGTGAAAGTAACACAAGATATAACGTTGTAATGAACTTTAGGTACACTTAAGCAAAAACATCAAAGATTATGACATTCAAACCATATCTATCTGAAATTTAGTATGCAAATGCTCGGCTCAGTTTAGAGCATTGTATAAAGAATATCACAGCACTTACAGAAAACATGCGGCCATCCCGTGTTAGTGCCACAGAGTGGGTCCCTCCACACGAGATCTGCAACATGAACAATAAATTCATTAACTTCAAGAGGCATATTCATAAAATAAAGCTTGAAAATTTCAGGAAAAAAACACTCAAATTGGTCAGTAGATAGAATACACAAGGGATAGTAATATTGGATTTGTCCTGGAAGACTATTCGCAAGATATATGAATGGAATTACGACTGCAAATATTAATCAACACAGTAAGTTACTATAGACCATGAATCCACCAATTCGACATGCAAAATCAACAACACTGAACGACTAAAACAATGTAAATTTGCACATAAGTGGGTAAATTTTGTGGGTTAGAATATCCACATCGAATCTTTGATGCCTATGAATAAGGATGGTAAATGGCATTTCACCTGTACAATATTCTCCCCAGATAGAAGTTGAACCTTTTGTGGCACCATTTTACTGCTCTTATCATCCCCAAAGCCGAGCCTTCCATGTTCCCCTCTGCCCCAACCATAAACCTGGAGTATGGAGAACATTGCAATTGATAAGAACCTTTAAGGTACCACAACATCCATGGCTCCTATCAGAATAAGTTTTTACAAAGGCATATATAGAATATCCAAAATCAGCTAAAACACGCAAAAACATTCTATCAAAAACATTCGACTGTAATTTATAATGGCCCTGTTTGGTAAAAAATTGGCCTATAGGCCAATTTTGGCTTATTTGACCACTTTTAATTGTTTGATTTCGTTTAAATATCAATATAAGTGTTTGGTTAATTAGCTTTTTGCAACTCCAAAATGTTAAAATTCAAAAAGCTACTCCAAACAACTTTTTCAATTAGCTTTTTCAAAAAAGAAATTATATCAAACAGCTATCCGCTAATAGCTTATTTACCAAACACTTTTCTACAACAACTAATATTATCAACTAATTATACCCTCTAATTAACACAATCAGCTAACAGCTAAACAGCTATCAGCTAACAACCATTTACCAAACAGGGCCAATGTATTTTGTATTTTAGCCTTATTATGGTGGTTTGATATTTTGTCATTGACATTTCTAACGTCATTTAAACTTCGCCCCTGCTCGGATGATTTTCTGGATCCATCCCTAAATAATTATTAATTAATGCAGAGACAGTTACTTAGAAGACAACAAAATACCTCCCCTTCTTCTGTCAATGCTGCAGAATGCCATCCTCCAGCAGCAATATCAACCTGGAGAAAAATGGCAAAAATACATTTAGAGTTGTTATTTTTGCATTGAAGATAAAGGCACATCACCAGATTGGAAATCATAATACAAACCAGTGAAAGACCCAGCAGTCCTTGAACAGGGATGGGTTGTGATCTTGGCTGGGTATCCCCTGTTCCTAGTTGTCCATACTCATTATTACCCCATGCCATCAAAGCTCCATCATCAAGAAGAGCCAAGTTGTGAAAAGCTCCAACTGCAATTAGCCTTACACTTGCAAGGCCTTGTACTCGAACGGGCGTGGATATTTGCTTTCTGCGGAAAACATTTAGAAATCATAATTTTTTCCAAAGAAGAATAATCTTATTGTTTTACAGAGAATTCAACAGTATCTAACTTTGATGCCTTTTTGCCAAAAAAAAAAATGGTGCATGGGGGTGGGAGGTGGGGTGGGGTGATTTTTTTCACATGCCACATTTTTCCTTCTTTTCTCTTGGTATGACCAAAACATCCCCCCTCTTCCCATATTTGGAAAAAGGCATCAAAAGCATAAACATTGCAATAAAATTATTTAGAAATCCTTGTTTTATTCACTACAGACCAAAAATTAAGGAACTAAGAGATTAAGAGGGTACATGTCCCCAGGAGGCCATGGTTGACCCCATGTCCATACATGCCCTTCCTTTGTAAGAACCACCGAATGAGTGCCACCTGCAGCTACCTGCAATGTCAGGAAACAAGAAATTAATTCTTGAATACAAATCAAAGGCAAGGGAAAACACTAGAAAATGATGCAGTACTCATAAATTAGGATTCCCAAAGGAAAGAAATTGACATTATAATCTCACCTGACGAACCGAAAGCTTTGGCACACATCGCTGTGGAGTTCCAATATCCCTCCTCACAGGCTTCCCAGTGTCATCTTTCCTCTCTGGTTCTTCACCACACTGCCCATACTCGTTCCCACCTGAAACAAAAACGTTGCACACCCTAGAAGTTGGATAAATGCTCCCCCCATCATGCTGTTATTTCTGGAGATACATACATGATACATACACTCGATTCCATTGTATATATATTTCTTGGTGCTAAGTATGCTTCAATTGTAAAATTCATTGAAGTAATCTAACTTTGAAAGCACAAGATTACTCTTTTTTTTTCTGGAATGGGTAAAAAATTTAGTTTTCAAAATGAATTTCACTTATCCAATCTACAGCCTCTTCAAGTTTTACAAGGAAATAAAAGTTGATTTGGATTGAAGAATAAAGAAAATATACACACCCCAAGCATAAGCTCGGCCTTGGTCATCAACAGCCAGACAATGCCATCCACCAATAGCTGCCTGGAATCAGAAAGTATGACATTAAACTCCGAAATAAAAACCAAAAGTTTTCATCTTTTTCGGCATTGACATTTAGAGCTGAGATTACCTGAACAATTTTGACATTAGCAAGAGCCTTAACCTGACTGGGAATATTCTCAGTCTTAGATATCGGTGCGTGTCCCAAGGTCCCTCTTTGATTCCAACCCCATGTAAACAACTGGTTATTCAGCAAAAATAAAGACATAAACCCATTAAAACACAATGAATGTTTAGCTCATACACATAATTTTTAAATTTTTTTGCAAATACCTGGCCGTTTTCACAGATGGCGAGAGAGTTCCTGCTGCCGGCGACAACTGAGGAAACCTTCTCGTTCTGGAGTGCTTTGATAGAGCAAACCCATTCTTTCTCTTCGTCATCCCCTATTCCTAACTGCCCATCTTCTCCTGAGCCCCTGATAGACAGTCATCATCATGAATCAGAGCGTCGGTAAAAAGAGCACAATTACATAGGAGTAGGTTGGAGAACGGGTTTTGGGGTTAAAGAACAAACCACGCGATGACGGCGGATCTTGAGGCCATAGAGAGCGATTGCTGCCGTCAAAAATGGTCACACTAGCGTAGTCGTGGACTGCTTGCTAGTTGCTTCCGAGGGGAAAATGGTATTGGGCTTAGTGGTTGTGCGAATCCTACTCATACTGCACTTGTCTGCCACGTTTTTTTTAAAACCTTGAATGATGTACGGAATAATGGCAAATTATATAGTGTATTATGTTAAGAGTTTATATATATTATGTTAAGAATTTGTGTATTATGTATTATGTATTAAGATTATGTGTATAATGTTAGGAGTTTATGTGTGTTATATTCTACAATTATGTACATATGAAACAAAAGATTTTTAGAGCGCATAATGCATTGTGCACCTTGGTGAATGATATAATAATTGCGGAATAATGGAATATAATAATTTGCATTCAACTCCAATTATTTTTCAAAGGAATAAGATTCAAATTGGCTACTGAACGTAAAAAAAAGTGTAATTAGACCACTGAACACGGTAAAATCATGCAATTTGTCTCCAGTGTTTTGTAGTGACATGTTACCAACAGGTAATTGACTAAAATTTAAAAAAAAATATTTAAAAAAAAAAAACAGGGTCTTCCTCCGACAAAGTCAGCTCGACAACGGCGTGGCTCCCCTCTCCCGATAATGAGTTGTGACCTTCCCTCTCCCGGTAGTGAGTTGCGAATGAACGGCGATCTCTCATCTCCTTTTGTGCGAAGACAGTGTTTGGGAGCTACGGCGACGGGTTTTGGAGTGGCGATGGCGGATGAGAAGTTGGGCAGCAACTGGGTGAAATCTTCTCCCCCTGTTTCCGGGAGCAGGGTGTTCTGGCAGCTTTTGGGTGACGTTTTCCGGCAATGGGCAGCTCCGGCAGTGGCAGTAGTTCCGACGGCGATCTGGGTGGCAATTTCTCTCTTTCTGTTCCTCTGGTCTTCAACACTTCATTTTTTTTTGAGTAAATACCCAAAATGGTCCATCGACTATAGCTAAATTCACAAATTGGTCCTCAACTTTCAATTTCAACCAATTAAGTCCTTAACTTTGTAATTTTAACACAATTTGGTCCTTTGTCTATTTGACCGTTTGTTGACTGTGATTTTTGAGGATATATATGTAATTTCATGGTCCACCGTCGGTTTTAAAGGTTCCGATTGCATTTCCAGACCGAACTGTTACATTCGAGTCCACTGCCGAAAGCAATATACCAAATTCGGTCGCTTATCTTCATCCTCCCTTTGGATTCAATGTAGTTGAATTCGTACCAAAGCGAAGAAGACGACGTGTTTCCGAACCGGTGCAACGTCATCCTGGAGGCCTCCACGTGCTCCGAAGATAGCTAAAGGTTCTTTTGGAGATCGTCGATCATGGTCAACAAACGGTCAAATAGATGAAGGACCAAATCGTGTCAAAATTGCAAAGTTAAGGACTTAATTGGTTGAAATTGAAAGTCGAAGACTAATTTGTGAATTTAGCTATAGTCGAGGGACCATTTTGAGTATTTACTCTATTTTTTTTAAATGGCTTGTTTGGTTATCAGCGGTTAGAGGTTAGCGGTAGCGGATTGTGTTAGCGGTTATCAGATAGTGGATTGTATTAGCGGGTTTGACCAGCATATTGTATTAGCGGTTTGTAAAAAAAATGTTTGGTAAAATTAGTTGTTTAGATTAGCGGTTAACATGTAAAATGATCATAAGGGTATACATTATAATTTATAATAATAATAATAATTTAAAAAAAAAAAAAAAAAAAACGAGCATGGCGTATCCGCCAATAACCAAACATGGCCAAAAGCTTGAAGGGATGTCATGATCGCTGCCTTCATCCCTTCATGGATCTGGTGCCCTGTTTTTTTTTCTTTTCTTTTTTTTTTTTTTATATATATATTTTTTATTTATTTTTAAAATTTTAGCTAATTACATGTTGGTCACTTGAGACAAATTGCATGATTTTACAAGTGTTCAGTGGTCTAATTTGATTTTTTTTTTTGTTGTTCAGTGGCCTAATTGCACTTTCAAGTTACGTTCAGTATCAAATTTGAACCTTATTCCTTTTTCAAATTTAACTCTTACTTTATTCATAAAATGTACATCCATTGAACTATTTAGGGATAGCAATTAAATCACCAAACTCGAATAAGCTCCAAATTCATCCATAAACCCGAGAAAAAAAAACCATTAGCATTTGTAGCAGGTTAACAACATATTTGTGTTGATTGGGATGCCATGTGTATATTATTATTATTATTATTATTATTATTATTATTACTACAATTACTACTATTACTATCATCATCATCATCATCATCATCATCATCATCACCATCATCATCATCATCATCATCATCATCATCATCATCATCATCATCATCATCCTACCAAGCATTTTACCCTCTTCTTGGATGCCATGTTTTCCTAATTTTATTTCCTGACGTGTCAACTATTGTATTTAAAAATAAATTTTAAAATTGTATTTTAATAATTTCAAATAAAATAATTCTTTTAAAAATTATATTTAAAAAAATAGTCTGGCCGGAGACGAAGGGGACCCCTCCTTCTCCATGGTCGGCCCTTCGACTCCGTGGCTGGCTAGAGACGAAGGGGTCCCCTTCCGTCTCCATGACCAGACATAGACAAAAGGGGGCCCTTCATCTCCAGCCAGCCAATGGAGGCTGTTTTTTTTTTTTTTTTTTTTTTTTTTTTTTTTTTTTTTTTTTTTTTTTTTTTTGCAACAAGTATAAAATAAAAATATGCAAAATTTGTCCAAAAATTATTAATTGTTTTAAATAAAAGTTAATACTAACCAGCTTAGTTGACGATAGTGGTTGTATACTCTTGTCCCTTAAGAAAGGTCGGGAGTTTGAACGCCCTCTGTATGGAAAAAATTAATATGGTAGGAGTTTAGAGGTGTCTCCTATAGTTAGGTGTCAATTTGGGGTTTTTTTTTTTTTGTTTTTTTTTTTTGTTTTTTGTTTTTTGTTTTTTGTTTTTGTTTTTGTTTTTGTTTTTTGTTTTTTTTTTTTTTTTTTTTTTTTTTTTTTTTGCATCTAGGTCAAATTTTAGGTATATAAATACAAAGCATAATAAAAAAAAAAACGCGGTGCCAAATTGGTCTTTTTGCATCTAGGTCAAATTTAAGATGCATGATTTTTGTTGCTGTGTGCTTTAAGGTAGTGCATGATTTGTCAAGAAGGTGCTTTGTTTTCTGTTCATAACTACTTTCTCAACCAAATGAAGCACAAAGAGCCAATATCGCATCCTGGGGCTCGAACCCACAACCGCCCCTATAAGGTAGCAACTTGGTGCCATTGGACAACAAGGTCCTTGGCAAGTTCAAAATGATCTAATTCAAAAAAAAAAAAAAAAACTTTTGGAGTAAACATGAAGAAGATGGATGCATTTGAGGATGCACATTTTTTTTTTAATGTTCATTAATTTGAGCCGTTGATATAGATTTGATCAACGACTCAGATCTAACCTCATTTTCACCTATGAGCATCTCTGCACCATAACTCATCCCTATATATGGAAATTTTTTACTGTCATGATGTGCCAATTAATTAAAAGCTCTACATAAACATTTAGGCTTTGAACTCTCCTCATTAGTTTTTTCTTTGAGTTTTTACCCCTTTTGGTCCCTTGACTATGACTCATTCTCAATTTTGCATTCCGACATTTAATTGCACCCAATGTGATCCCTTGACTTTTAAAAATTACCCCAATTTGGTCCTCCGTTACCTTTTCCATCAATTAGGCGTTAAGTTTAGGGGTATTTTGGTCATTTCATTGTGTTTTTTTTGTGGGTTTCGGAGCAAATTAAGCTCAAAGGTTTTGGAGAAAAATAGGGTATGGAAATGTCGACAGGAGGTGTGCGCTATGGCCGCGACTCCGACTGCAAATTGGCCATCAACGATCTCCATTCGTTCGTTCTAAGCTTCTGACACAAATACATCTTCAAGAAGGCAGAAAGATTTCTCTTCTTCGAACACAAATACATCTTCAACCCCGAGGTCAGCCACACCATTGTTGTTGAACTCCTTGAGAAGGCATTCATCACCTTCAAGCTTTCTGGAATTATGAAAGGGACCAACGGGGATGGACGAAGGCTTGGGTGCTCTGTTTCTCACGCTAACAGCATCAACTCCAAGGCCGACGACAGAAAGGGTATTCTTCGAACCTAGAGAACGGGATATAGAAGGCTCAACCGACTGAGGAGCAGTCGATTTCCCTTTTCCGGCCATGAAAACAACAGAAAAATAGACGGAAAACGGAGAGAAGACTTAGTGGAAGTCGCCGGAGAAAACCTTCGTGAAGTCGCCGGCAATACTAGAAAACCTTCGTGGAGTCACCGCTTCGAACAACAACAGCCAAAGAACAATCTGGTCGCCGGACTATTTTGTCGTTAACGGAAAAGCCAAGGAGAATTTTTTATTGTTGTTTATTGTTACACTGGCTCAGTATTTCATCACTTCTGGCTCCTCTCCTGGGTAATTTTTTTGTCTTTTTTTTTAGTTTTATATCCATCATTATTGCATTTCATTGTCCTTGGTTTGGAGTGCCCATAATGTTTCGATTCTAAGGAAAATTTTAACCTCATTTCCCTTTTCTTTTGGAAAAAATATAGGTATGTTCTTGATGCAATGAGGGCTGTGAATGAGGCAAGTGCCTTGTCCGTCAGTGGCCTCAAAGTAAGAAAACTATCCTTCTGATTGTGTATACATGTATGTAAAGAAAAAGACATTTAATGAATTTGGGAAGAAATTCTGTTATCTTATATGATTACGTAAAGTGTTACAAGGCCAGAAAGCTTCTTCAATAATCAGATAATAATTATTGAATTTTTCTGTTGATTATCTTGATGTTGAATGATCAAGCAAAGGGGGTTTCAAGAAAAAAATGGCAGTGTAGTTATTACAATTGATCAGAGCAAAATGGGCAGAGATCTTTTAGATAGTAATGCGACATCTTGGACAAAGCTTGTGATGGATATGTACCCCCACGGAACATCTGTTAGGTCGGTGAGTGGTTTAATCATTATGGTTATGTTTATCTTAATCATTATGAACAGAGCACTCAAGTCTCAAATGGCGGGAGTGAACACTGAACAGAGCCATTGGGTTGAAGGGATGTGGGAGCTTTGGTAACGGAGGACCAGAAACCACAAATACCAAAATACAACAAAATGACCAAAAATACCCCTAAACTTAACACCTAATTGATGGAAAAGGTAACTGAGGACCAAATTGAAATAATTTTTAAAAGTCAAGGGACCACATTGGGTGCAATTAAAAGTCGGAATGCAAAATTGAGAATGAGCCATAGTCAAGGGACCAAAATGGGTAAAAACTCTTTTTTCTTTCATGTCTTCCAACTGCTTCCCACTACCCTTGTTGTTCACCACAATTAATGGCCGAATAGAGATCTTAGACGAAGACGGTACTCAACAAAATGTCTCAATAACACCTTTCTTACCACTACTTGGATGCTGCAAAATGTCATCAAATAAAAAAGTTTCGTTTTGCTTCATAGTCACATGGGTAAACTGCAACAAACACTCTATGCATTCACCTGCCAAACCAACACACTTATAGAATTCGGACCGCAACTGGTTGACTATCGATTTAGCTTCCTCTTCACCTACACTTTAATCTATAACTACTCCATCAACTTGAAATACTTGCCACAAATAGGCATATCTAGTCCACTGTGTAACCACATAGTTTGTAGGATACATTCAACCCGGACATCCTTACAAACAAGGAAAATATGCCTACACAATAACCCAACACTTTCAAACATCTGATAGCTACAAAAGTAGCGCCATTATCATTCAGGTTATGCTCCATACATGACACACATTCATCATCTTTTACTTCATAGCAAACTAAATCCCCCAGCTCATAAAAGGAAACAACATGACACATAAAACACCCAACAAAAATTTATGCGTGAACTTCACAGAAAATAGTTTTAGTGTACATTGATGCAACATGTCGCTCCAACATCAGCTGTGTCTTGTAATATGAAAAATAGCCAACACAAGCATCATTTAGTTTGGTATGTATGCCTATGAGTATCAATTGCACTCTCAAATTGCATCAAAAAAAAAAAAAAAAAAAAAAAAAAAAAAAACTCCACTGAACTTGTGTGATGCGTTACGAAACTCCAAAATAAATTATTTTTCGCTTCCAACCAGGACATTGTATGAATTAAACCCTCCATAAACATGTTGCTGAAGTACACATAGATCCAAAACAATGCACATGTAGTATATTGTGACATTACCATATTTAGTATTACTCTTTTTATTTTTATTTTATAATGTCATTAACTTTCATTTGTTTTTTATGATCAATCCTCCATTGAAATTTTCATTATTATCTCTCTCTCTCTATCTATCTATCTATCTATCTATCTATCTATCTATCTATCTATCTATCTATCTATCTATCTATATATATATATATATATATATATATATATATATATATATATATATATATTATTATTATTATTATTATTATTATTAAAGCAAAATGAGATACTGTAAAAAGTTTCCGCCAAATCCAATACTAAGTTTAAGCCAATCAAAATCAATTACTAAGTTTAAGTCAATCAATTCAATTACTAAGATGCCAGCCAACCAAAATCAATTACTAAGTTTAAGCCAATTGCTAAGATATCTAAACATCTATATATATTTCACACCATCTACAATACAAACACTATCAAGGAAGTTGTGATAGCGTATCAAATCTAGAAACGCTCTTCGCTTGCGAGTTGTGAGAGAGTATGAAATCCCCGAGAGAAAATCGTCTTCCATAATCAAATCCAAGGAAGTTGTCTTCCATGACCAGCAGGTAAGTTCTTTTACAAATCTCAATTCAAATCAGGCTACATCAATCAGTTTATACGAGACCATGTTAAAAGCTCTATTCTATGAAAACTGAGAAACTAAAGAAACTGTGAACATCAAGATGTGATCTTTGTGTGTCTGAATTTTGAATTTTAAACAATTGAATGATGGTGGTTTTTTTTTTTTTTTTTTTTTTTTTTTGCTGAACAATGAACAGATAGACATTTTTTGTCTAACGCATTTCAATGGGGGATGAGATGTCATTCCTACTTCGAATCTGATAGACATTTTATTATGTTTTTCTATATTTTATGATGGATCTGTCTAAGTTATTCCTAAATCCTTATTACTATTTAGAATAAGGTAGCAACACTGCTTTCTATGCTATTTCATAATATTTTGCAGGTTTAGAAGTACATATACAAGAACATATCACACATAGCAAATAAGAGGACTCCAAAAGCTGATAGAATTTGATTATCCTTATCTATATTTTAAGGTGGATCTCTCTAAGTTATTCATAATTCCTTATTACCAATTAGAATTAGGTAACAAATAGTGCTCCTTTTGGCTTTGGGTTTCTATTTTGCAGGTTTTGGAGTACATGGCTTTGGGTTTCTATTTTGCAGGTTTTGGAGTACATATACAAGAACACATCACATAGCAAATGAGAGGACCATGACAAACAGTGTGAATTGAAACAACCAATTTCAAGAGCATATATATCATGCATGAAGACATAAAAAATTGTTTTTTTTTTTCCTACAAAAAAAATGTTATGATAGAATTGTGTAGGACATGTATTGTAACACCCCCGATTTTTACCACAATTTTTAAAACTTAAATTCAAAGTTAAACATCTAATCATCAAGACGTAAAGCAAACGGAAGCTATATGAAATCGGTAAGTGTTATGCCACACCCATAAACCATGGGTGCACAGGCTAGTAAACAACAATCTAACAAAACATAAGAATACTAAGGCGCCCAGGCCAACAAGAGTAACTGTCTAGCAAGAGATCTATTCTATCTAAGTCCACATCTAGCGTGCTTGGCATCTACTCAAAACCTGTAAAATCAAGGGATAACACCTGGTCAGCGAATATTGCTGGCAACCCATCAGTACGCGTTAAATAACATATATAGATAGATATAATCAAAACCATTTGGAACGGGAATATAATATATATCATTTTAAAACCAAAGAGAGGAGTCAATACCAAAGACTCATCAATTACTCTCAAAAGAAATGAGGATCACCATCCTCACAACAACAACAAGACTACAAACATGAAAGATAACACAACCCATGATGCATTCTACTGATCACAAAGTAGAATACATCAAGACATGCTCATAAGCAAGGAATACACATTCACACGGTGACAACTACATGCCACAGTGACAACTACATAACACAAGTTTCATAGTTCTAACCTTATGCCCTGTTCCAACCTTATGGCTACCCATGACCTTATTTCGGTTCCAACCATTACCTCCTAGTGCCACCCTATACTTCTGAGTCCAACCTTTTGCCTCCGGGGACCGTCGTCCCCCCTCCAACAACCTCCAACATTACCACCGAACTCTCACTACATGAGGGTACCATTAATTTCATTCACACAACCACCAACTCGTGAGCAAAGCTCAAATAACAAACCACCAATCTTAATCATAGTCACACAAGGTCATCATCATTACCAAGAAGACTAAGGCTCAACAATAGCCTCAATCAAGTATCAATCAAAGGGTACAACGATTTGCATACGTTCACATCATAGGAATCAATCAAGAGACCACAATAAAGACATGAGACCATACTCAACAACAAAGGATTACAATCCAACACCAAATGATTGTCAACACAAGTTGCCAATCCCAATAAGAAGGAACAAACCACACATACTAGCATTTCAACATCAAACTAGCATGCTTATCAAACGGGTAAATCAAAAGTAGTTCCAAAGAACATTCAAGACTCACGTTAGCCCAACGAATCACAAAGTCGGACTCTTTGCACGATTCAAGACACTAAATCCTACATGGATTCCTAACATACCGTCCTAGACATACGAAACATCAAGAAGACTCACAAATAGCCCAATAAATCAACATCGGGAGGTCAAAATATCAATATCGAGAATAAAGAATCATGGGAACAAATTCCCGACATCAACCAACAACGTTCCCCGCGGGTACACACCCACGAACCACCGGTTCCCCGCGGGTGGGGTGGCGGGTTGGGCCCTGCCCGTCGTTTCGCCCGCGGGTACACACCTGTACACAAAAATATCCCTTCGGGGATTTTCAACAACAAGGCCAAGTCCAATTCCAAAACACCTAAAATCTCACACACAACAACAATATGACTTGAATCCAATAAATAGCCAAGCAATGACATTCAAAAACCCTAAGAACAAGCTCTAAACATGCATCACCACAAGATAATGCATCAAATCTCACAAATCAACACAAGAATCACAAGTAGAAGCTAAGAATCATCATATAAGTAAGAAAATAGGTTTTGTAAAGCATGGGTTACCTTTGTAGCCTAACAACTTCTTCTTTTCACCCTTAAAAGCCTTTCCTAGAGCTCCTCTTCCACACCAACTTCTTACACAAACCAAAACACAACAAAGATCCTAACTTTTAGAAAAAGACAACTAAAAGAAGGTTAAAAACACCAAAAAGCTAAGGATCTTACCCTTTCATATGCTCAAGATGAAGAAAGTAGGAATCTTGTAAGAAAATCTTGCAAGACTTTGATGCTCAAATTCTATCTTGGAGAAGAAGCTAAATCATTTTAGAGAGAAGCTAGAGTTTTTGAGTTTTAGGTTGAAGAGTGAATGAAATGAGAGTGTCTTGCTAGGTTAGCTTGAATCACAATTCTTAGGTAGAAAGACATTCCTACCCTTACTAATGTTGGAATGATATATATAATTGAGTAGAATAATTTAATTATATATATATAATTTAATTAAGAATTTTTATTCGTAATTATGAAATTAATTATTATATATAAAAATAATCTATTAAAAGGTAGAATATTTATTTATATAATAATTATTTTCATATGAACGTATGTAACTGTCAATTTCATTATTTATAATATACATAATATACTTTAACAATATAAAAAAATAAAATAACATTAACTACTATAAATTTATAGGTCGTGCATCGCACGGGCATTATACTAGTATCATTTATAAGAGAATGATATAAATTATATGTTGAGACAAGATACTTGAATGATGAAAGTACATATTTGTTATATTTATTTAAAGAGAGTGACAAAATTTAAAATGAAACATTACTTGTGACAAGTAAACAAAAATTGTGTGTGAATATAATTGAACAAAATTTTAAAAAGTAATATTATGTGTGACAAAATTAAGAATTTGCGTGCTCTTTTGATTAATATAACTTGATTAACTTCCTCTAGATTGGGTGTGTGTGTGTTCTAAATCATCAAAATATTTTTCTTTAATCCTCTCCTCTCCCACAGTAAAACCGTGATACGCTGGGTCTCTGGCTCTCTGCTGAAGTGCTCCTTCACTGTCGCACTCCTCTTTCTGAATTCTGAGGCACGACATATTAGCGAACTTGTATATGCTCCAGAAGAAGAGAAGCAACGTAAATTCTGAAAATGGCGAAGAGCTATGCGAGAGAGAACGCGCCCCTATCGAGATTCGGAGTACTGGTGGCGCAATTGGAATCCATAGTCGCCTCTGCAGCTCACAAGCCTCCCGACCCTCTCCTCTGCTTTGATCTCCTCTCCGATCTCATCTCAGCCATCAACGAAGAGCCCAAGGTCAGCATTTACTCTCCTGTTTCTCTTTAGATCTCTACTATATCATTTAACTTCGTCTCTCATTCTACTAATCCTTTCGAATTGTTGTTACATTCCCTGGATTCTAAACCAATACTTTTATAATTCTCTTCTCTCATTTCGTTTGAGTAGGTGTTTGAAAGAAGTGTATAAGTCCAGCGCAAAATATTGGTTTTGATATTTGCTCTGGAAATGTGAACTTTGAGAGTTTGAGGCAATATATTTCGTTATGAAACTGTGTTCTTTCTTAGTAACTCAGACTTTTTAACAAAAGTTACAGACTTTCTTGTGAAAATCCTTTTAGTTTCTAGCAGAGTTTTGTTACCTGATGTGAATTTTATCCATAAATGGATTGTGCTAGAATTTATTCTGAATGGTTCATGATTTCATGTATTATTATTGCATGAAGTCAAGGTTCTTGATCATGATGTCCGAATTTCAGGAATCAATACCGATCTGTCAGAGGAAATGTGAAGATGCTCTTTATTCTCTACTTGTGCTTGGTGCAAGAAAGCCAGTGCGACACTTGGCATCTTTGGCTATGGCTAGGGTCATACAAAAGGGTGATTCCATTTCAATATATTCCAGAGCTAGCAGCTTGCAGGGATTCCTCTCAGATGGAAAGAAAAACGAGCCTCACCGATTTGCTGGTTTGTCATACTTGAATTTCCTCGTTTGCCAAAGTTCAGGCATATTAAAAGATACTCCATATTTCTTTTAGGTGTTTGATATTAGGTTGTTCTCTGATTTGGAAAAATGGAATGGGTACTATGTCAATGACATCTTTTTATCATAGACTTCAAGATGTCCTTGTATTTTAACTTCCGAGGGGCTTAATAGATTATCCATTGTTGTTATTCTTTTGTTGATACATTGAACTTTGATGTTCTGTAGTATTACACCTTGTTACCAACTTACCATACATGTTCTTGTTGCTTTTCCTCTATAGTACATTTCTGTAGTTGATCCCAGTGCACAAGACTCATTTTATTGAAGCTTATCTCTGTGCTCTAAAGGTGCTGCTGAGTGCTTGGGTGAATTGTATCGCTACTTTGGGAGACGAATTACTTCTGGATTACTTGAAACAACTGCAATTCTCACAAAAATGTTGAAGTTCAATGAGGTAATTAGTATACAAAGTGATTTTAATATCTATCTAGTTCATGAGGTGTGTGATATCAGAATTCCTTTGCCAATACTCAATAACAGATCTTAGTAATTTTTGCATTAGAGTACCAATTTCTTGCTTTTCTTTTCTCTTGTTAAATAAGGGATATTGTGGCAAAATATTACAGGCCTCACAATGCATTATTTCTAGGTCAAATTTCTCAAAGTTCAACACTCGAACATCAGTTGACTATCTATAGACATATAACTGTGAGAATACAACTTTTTAATGATCCTGTACAAACACAGCATGGACAAGAAACTTTTAATGATAATGAATAAGTCAATAAGTACAATATACATAGGAACTTAGTAGGACTGTTAGTAAAAATAATATCCTAACAATGAGACATCTTAAACACCATATATTCATAATCAATATTACATGTTTGCTGGCTTCTTCAAGAAATATCTAGCATCAAATGCCTTAATGGACACTAATATCAATGAGCACAGAGTATGGGAAAAGAAGCATAACCCATTAAATCCTTCCTTTAGACCCAAGGTCTTTCTCTCATAAATCTCACTTCCTAAATATGCAATTGTTCAAAGACTTGACAAGTTAGTATAATTCAATTGCTTATAGGCAATAGGTAGTGAATTGTTACTACGATATCTTTATTTTCAGTAACTAAGCATATTTCCTCTTGATGTTAAAAATCAGTTCATGTGTTAGTTCATATTAAGATTTTGTGGATCAGTTGCATCTGCTTGTATTATGAATGTTTTTCATTTGATCCTTGCTATCTAACATTTTGTCAAGGGCATGCAACACATCTAACAACCAGTTACTTCAGGACTTCGTGAGACATGAAGGTTTTCACATGCTTCAGAATGCTTTGGAAGGATCAGGTGGCAGTGCTGCTTCCTCAGCATATACAGAGGCGTTCCGTATCATAATGCGGACAGGAATTGGAGACAAATCATTTAATGTTAGAATAGCTGCGGCTAGATGCCTGAAGGCATTTGCAAACATTGGAGGACCTGGATTAGGTGTTGGAGAGCTTGAGAGTTCATCTTCTTACTGTGTCAAGGTTGGACAATTTGTATTTTTTTAGCTATTTACATTTTTGTTAATTGTTATCCCATTTTATTTTATTGATTCTAATTTTAATTATTCCTTTACTTGAGTTCAAATTTATAGCTCTAACTCTGTAGGCCCTTGAGGACCCAATACCATCTGTTAGGGATGCCTTTGCTGAAGCCCTTGGAGCACTGCTTGCTCTTGGGATGAATCCCAATGCACAGGTGAGCATATGTGGCTGCCATGCTTTATTGGTTTCTTGCTTCAACTTTTAAACTGTTATTCTTAATAGGTGCAACTGAGGGGGAAAGCTCATTTTACTCAAAAAAAACTTGAAGGAGGTCTCGAAAGGCACTTGGTTTTGCCCTTCATAAAAGGTATATCTATAGTAGCTTGCACTTTAGTTCTTTGCTTCTCTTCCTCTAGCTAAAAGGAATATGCATTTATTGTTGTTGTTGTTGTTGTTGTTTTTT